TTTGTACTTACTCTAAGTTAATAATTAAAGTTTAAATAAACTATAAACAGTTACATCTCTTTCATTCAGCATAGATGAGATATTCAGTTATGATGTAGTTAACAATGAGAATCTAATAGTTCATTTAGTGGACTGTTGGCAGATGACCTGTATATTCATAGATTTAATTCTTTTAAATTTTCTTTTGATTTTAAAGATAATCTCAATAAAATAATCTTTTACTTGAGATCATTAATTGGTCTAATTTAAACTACTGATGAGTTATATAGTAGGACGAAATGATCGTCCAGTGCTTTCATATTTCCATTAGTTCTCTAAATTAGATCAATGTGTGATCTCAATAAAACCCGATAAATTCTATGACCCAATATTAAAAAGCAAGATTCTCCGATACAACACAGAATGCACCAATCCAATCACAATTGACGGAGAAAATTCGGAAGATGTAAAAACCTTCACATATCTGGGCAGCATCATTGATGAACACGATGGATCTGATGCAGATGTGAAGGCGCGGATCGGCAAAGCAAGAGTAGTATATTTACAAATGAAGAACATCTGGAGCTCAAAACAACTGTCTGTCAACCAACATCAAGGTCAGAATTTTCAATACAAATGTCAAGACAGTTCTACTGTATGGGGCGGAAACCTGGAGAACTACGAAAGCCATCATCCAGAGGATACAGGTGTTTATTAACAGTTGTCTGCGCAAAATACTTCGGATCCGTTGGCCGGACACTATTAGCAACAACCTACTGTGGAAGAGAACAAACCGGATCCCAGCGGAGGACGAACTCAGGAAGAAGCGCTGGAAGTGGATAGGACACACATTGAGGAAATCACTCAACTGCGTCACAAGACAAGCCCTCACATGGCCAAAGGAGGAAGAAGAGGAAGACCAAACAACACAATACGCCGGGAAATGGAGATAGACATGAGAAAAATGAACAAGAATTGGATGGAACTAGAAAAGAAGGCCCAGGACAGTGTGGGTTGAAGAATGTTGGTCGGCGGCCTATGCTCCATTAGGAGTAACAGGCATAAGTAAGTAAGTAAATAATATTGAAAAGAAATTCTACATTATGTTAGACAAAAAATAATAATTAAAATATCATTTTTCCCTGAATATACTAATGTAATCACTTACCGGTAAATTTGGTGTACTACTTACACGACGAATACCTTTACGATTGTTTTCAACTATTGAACGTGATTCTGACTTTTTTTGATCATTTGTTGATTTATGGAAATGTTCTTTTCTTCTTTTTAATTCAGCCGACTAAAAATAATATGAGTCAAATGAGAAATATGTATACACTTATGTTGAAAAGAGATAAATATAGTAGATGATGGAGAAGATTTGTAGCTAAGATGAATGATTTTGATAAAGTTTTGTTCTCTGAGTTCAATAATTTGATTATGGAGTACTTATTCTTAGTCTGAACGATATTACCTGAAGTTTATGTTGATAATGTCGTTCAGAATAACAATAAAAGTTCCACAACCAAACCATTCAGTTCGGAGAACAAAACTTCATCAAAAACAGATGAATATAGATACCATTAATAATGATTAATACTTCGTTATATTTCCAATGAACTTGATAGATTATCACAGTTGGTTTAAACAATTTCCTCTGTTACTATTAGTAATTTAGTAGTGATAAATCAACTTATTATACATGAATGAAGTCTGTCATTAATTGAAGTATAGTCACTATTGAAAGGTTTTGTTTAAATTAACTCTAAAATCTCCACAAAACCCATTCTGATAATAATCACCTGCTCACTAGTGACTGACTTCAAGAGATACTCCTGGAGTTCTAGTGAGAAGTAGTGACCAGTGGAATTCAAGCGGCTCACTTGTCAGATAGTAACTCTCTGAAGACAATGGTGTACGGTGGCGCAACTTCGTGGATTGGTTGAAGTTAGACATTAACACCGTTGGATGCCGGCTCAGTGGTCTAGTTGGTTAGGCGCCATGCGCGGGAGTTATAGGCCCTGGGTTCGAGTCTCGCGGTGGGAGGGCGGGATCGTGGGTGCGTACTGCCAGGAAGTCCCATACTAGGACGAAACGGCCGTCCAGTGCTTCCAGGTTCTCCATGGTGGTCTAGTATCATTTGACTAATGTTTTCAACCAATGAAATTTCTAAAATCTCCACAAAACCCATTCTGACTTATTAATATAACTCATTCATTTATAGGTATATATAGCACATTAATATCTTTGATTTTCTTTCTGGGTAAAACGAATTGTGACATGTTGAAGATGGACATCAACAGTCAAATGGGATGTTTCACACGAATCGCATCGTTATTATTTTGAAATATGTGCGACCTGCTTGAATATCTTCGCTACCTATTCCTGCCACCTAGATATTTCAACACGTTTTTTGTTTCCTTGTTTGTTTTAGCAGACCATTATATTAATTCATTGCATAACCTATTCACGTGAGTTTGTGAAAAGTTTTGACGACATTTTACTGTACAAGTTATAAAAGAGCCCAATCAGAGACATCTTGGTAGCTGGCACTATCCATCAAAAAGAATAATATATTATTCAGATGTTGATTGACTGAACTGTTAACATGTAAACTGGCGATCACTCAATATTTATTGTCAATATCCATCAAGAAATAAAACAAACGGAAACTCAATGATAATAACAAGACAATGTTGTAAATGAAGTTGATATTGCAAAGATTTTGCATAATTTGTAAGTAATTCTTATTGTAAAGATGAATTTACTGGAGAACTATTATGACCAAAAAGCCATTAGACAGTTGTTTTGATTAACTTTAGAACTCATCACTAAAGTGTAATTCTTTACTGGTTCCATCTCACTAACTTGACCCCATCGTTCTTATCACATAATCTAAAGATTTTAGATTTAATTCTGTTTCAGTTATAGAATGAACACTAAGGACTAGTTATAGAATAGAATAAAGGATATCTAATTTTAATCGGCTTTTAACTGCCTTTTAATTAATATAACTTAATGATGAAGATGATATTTATCAAGTTCATTTATTTCAATGGACGGCCGTTTCGTCATAGTATAGGATTCCTCAGCAGTGCGTATTTACGATCCCGCCCCATGGGATTCGAACCAAGGATTCCCACAATAGGACGAAATGGCCATCCAATGGTTTCAGGTCTAGCTTTGATTGGTTCATGAACTCAATCATTAAATTACTGTAGTATCCACAAAACCTCTTTCTAATATTAAACAGAATAATTTCGTCTCATCACAAAATTACAATTTAAAATTGTATAATCAGTATTTTCAACCACAAATTTCAGTCCTAAACATCAATTGGAAACTTTTTATAAATAATATAAAGTGAATTAAAACTTCACCCTATTGCAAAAGCATTTAACTATTAGGGATCAGTAACTAAATGGATAACATGATAGCTTTTGAAGCGAACGGTATTGAGTTCGAGTCCCAAAGTAAACATGAGTTCTGAGATGCAGTTACGTCTAGTTTATGAGTCCCAAATTGGATGAAACGCCTGTTTTTTTCAAGTTTCTGCATGGTTAAAACTTGATACTTTTCTCTCTCTCTCTCTTAAATAATACTTTCCATCATATGATATATATGAGAATTGATTATTTCGCAGAGACTATAATTTATGGACGACCTTTAGGTGACTTTAAAGTGGCCTTGAGAATGTTCAGCTACTTACTAAGGCTAAAAGAGTGTTAGAAACTTGCGTTACGAATAAGGGTTATAATTTACAGTTGGATGGTTAGGGTTAAGAATTAGATCTAAGAGTATTCATCATGAACTGACATTAACAAAAATCCTAAAACTCTCTCTTAAATGAAATAGATGAATGAATTTCGCGCTAAATTCCAAAATATGTTATCTTATATCTTATTGATTCGTCCATACATTATAGTCCCAATCATTATTTCTAATGTAATAATACTAACTTACTTCAATATATTGTTGTGTAGATTGTATTACATTTGATTTAATATAACTAGTTTGATAATGCTCAGTATAATTATAATTTGGTTTAGATTCATTGAATTCACGATAAAAATCATCATTCACATCATCATCATCATCACCGTCATCATCATCACCACCATCATGATTGTGATCATCATTGTGATCCTTTGTATAATAAGTGAATGGATCATTAGATTTATGAAATGATTTCAATGGTATATTCATTGATTTCAATGATAATTCTGGTGTTTGAATTTGTGTATAACGATTAAATGGAACTTGATTTGATTTTGTAAAACAAACATATTCATCATCATTATTATTCTTATTCTTATGAATTTTGAATGGATTATTGAAATATTGTGAATCATGATGATGATGTCGTAATCGACGATATACAATATAAATAAGTAATAATAATATAATAATAATACATAATACACTTAATAAAATAATCAATAAATTATTTGTTATATGAAACATTTCAAATTCGATTTCATTATTTTCTAAATAGTTACTATGATTATTATTAGTCTCCTTAGTAACATTAGTTTCTAGAAGGTGATTCCTTCTAGTAGACATTATATTTTGATTAGATATATTCACTTGTCTAGATCTAATTACAATGATAATCAACTAATTATTAATCAAACAAGTTTTACCGATAGGATTTAATACAGATTATTAATTATTATTATTATTATTATTATTATTATTATTATTATTGTTATGATTATTATTATTACACAATGATTATCATTTTGTAAGAATAGTGTAATCCTATTTACATTATGAATAATAATCAGTTTATTATGTATAGATATTGATCGATCGATTGATTGGTGAGTACGTAATTTTTTCCTATTGAATGTTTTATCTAATTCAATAGGAGTTATATTCATTATCGATTTAGTTGAACCTGTTTTGTGCGTGCGCATGTGTGCATGTGAGTGTGTTATTGATTGAGTTTGTCTACAATTACGATTAATTACACAAAAACTAATTATTGGACGAGAAAAATGAAGATAAACTAATGTTGTATGGGTACAGATGCATCATCATCATCATCATCATCATCATCATCATCATCATCATCATCATCATCATCATCATCATCATCATCATCATCATCATCATCATCATCATCATCATCATCATCATCATCATCATCATCATCATCATCATCATCATCATCATCATCATCATCATCATCATCATCATCATCATCATCATCATCATCATCATCATCATCATCATCATCATCATCATCATCATCATCATCATCATCATCATCATCATCATCATCATCATCATCATCATCATCATCATCATCATCATCATCATCATCATCATCATCATCATCATCATCATCATCATCATCATCATCATCATCATCATCATCATCATCATCATCATCATCATCATCATCATCATCATCATCATCATCATCATCATCATCATCATCATCATCATCATCATCATCATCATCATCATCATCATCATCATCATCATCATCATCATCATCATCATCATCATCATCATCATCATCATCATCATCATCATCATCATCATCATCATCATCATCATCATCATCATCATCATCATCATCATCATCATCATCATCATCATCATCATCATCATCATCATCATCATCATCATCATCATCATCATCATCATCATCATCATCATCATCATCATCATCATCATCATCATCATCATCATCATCATCATCATCATCATCATCATCATCATCATCATCATCATCATCATCATCATCATCATCATCATCATCATCATCATCATCATCATCATCATCATCATCATCATCATCATCATCATCATCATCATCATCATCATCATCATCATCATCATCATCATCATCATCATCATCATCATCATCATCATCATCATCATCATCATCATCATCATCATCATCATCATCATCATCATCATGCAAGCACTAATATGGAATCCTGAACGGAAAGGAAAAAGAGGTATGACAAAATAAACACCATGTTTGAAATTGGAAGGCGACATGGAAAGGAATAATAGTAATTGAAAATTATTGTACAAGATATAGTTGGATGGAGAATGCTGGTGTGTAGCCTATGCTACACCATGTAGATAACAGGATTCAGTCAGTCAGCTACATTTTAAGAGCAGGCACATATATGCATTGATTCAAGTTGCCACACCTCATCAGCACAACAAGATGAACACTGGATTCATAGAACTAGTTAATTCAATCGTGGTAATATATGAAATAAAGATTGCATATAAGGATATAGTGCAAGAAGAAAGAATTACTTCGTAGGAAGAAAGAAATAAAGCAATTTTAATCTCATAGTTTAAGGGAAGATAGAGAGTGTATACACCTACGCCATTGTGATCTATTCTGAATTATATCACCCAGAGTCTCCAACCATTGGTTAGGAGTAAGGATTAAGTAAGTAAGTAGTAGATATATCATTAATTTTTTTATCAGATAGGTGTTTCCTGAATGACTGGATATCAAATCTATTGAGTAGTGATAAGAAATTAATTATTTTGTAAACTTTATTCTTTACATGTTGATATCCGTCGAGATAGAATTGGAAACCAAAGAAGATTGGACAGTTATTTTTTCTTTGTATGGTATTTACTAGCAGTCTATATTTATGACTCCACTTAGGATCAAGCTCAGGAAATTCATGTCCATCAGTAAATGTTTGGTCACTAAAACCAATTTGTAGGCGCTTTAAGGTACAAGAGCTGACTGATATTTATAAAATTACCTTCGATAAGGTAAAAAATAGACATTTTCATTTTGTATCAAGTTTAACAATAAATGTATTTTGAGGAGTCCCATACTGGAACGAAACGACCGTTCACTGCTTCCAGGCTTTCAACAATGATCTAGCTTGGATTGATTCATGATTTTAATAAAAGTAAGTATCTAGTAAGAGCATGCTTTTCCAATTGTTGCAATACACACACATATATTTTCAATTGTCGCATCTGTGAATGCTCAGAAACTGTAGCTCATTGAATGAAATTTATCACTTAATTTTGTTTTATCTTTTAGATTCAGAGCTATCAAAACTGATTAAGTATAATGTAGACAAATGGATCAGTGTAGTTTTTAAGAATTCACAGACTGACAACAAACACGACTGCTATTCTACAAAATTCAACGTCATACTGAGTCGTATTGTAGTGAAGGAGAACACAGGTGAGGATAACCGAATTAAATTTAGCACTAACTTACAGAGTTACTTGGTAAAATAGAAAAACTATACTATAATACTTAATTTGCAAACTGTTCAATAATTGTCTCGAACTTCGTTGTTCTTGCATTTCCATACCAATTGCTTCCGATTCCCGTTCTTCCTTTCTTGATCTTCCCCATCTTCTGCTGCCAGACATTACATTCCTGACTTATATCAATATAAGTAGCACGCACCACAGTATGAATAGCATGACCTGTGGTTGTATTTCACGAAGATACATATAAAATAATGTTCGATTAAGTAGACTGAAGACAAAACAAATTTTGTGTAACATTTGTGTAAACTTATATTTCGATTTAGGTGGGAGGTGATTATTTATACTGTGGTGTGTGCTACTGATATTGATAAATATAAGTAGTGTGTCATCAATCAAAAGTGAAATGTATATCAGCAGCAGGTTAAGAAGATCGAAGGAAAGAGAACAGAAAGTGATTGATATGGAAACGAAGGAACAGTCAAGTCTGAGACAAATGATTGACATTTTGCAAATGAAGAATTTACTTTATGGTCCTCATTGTGTAATTTTGTGTTCAAATATATTTGGTTGTTTCAAACTGAGTTCTCGTCCACTACATACCCTAACTTGTAACTAACAAGAAAGCAGCTGTCCATTTTATATGACTATCAAATGTTATTCCATTACTAATATGTTCGACAGTAGTGTTTTAGTTTATCAGAGAGCTGATCGCATTTATGAAGTCTAAATCTGTGTTCTCTTGTATCCTAGCGAAAGATGTTACCACTTAACTATTGAAATCCTGTTCGGTAAGCAATATCATCTTCAATGATGTAGGTATGTTTTGTTGATTAGTGTTGACTTGCATGAAACATACTTGTCGTGCTTCCAATGGAATACGTCTATCTGATATGGTGATGAAGTATTTCATCTAAAAAAGGAATCAAGTTATGTGATGCAACCTGTTAAATAACCAGATAATGATAACTGTCAAACTCTTAGTTTCTTTTCTCGTATCTTTTAAATTTATTTTGATATTTTTAGGAACATTATCTTTAGGGAATAAACTCCTAGTAAAACTGTGTGAACGTATTTATTTTAATATTCAAGTAGAGATCAAGAGTGACTAGCAGTGAGATCCATTTCGTAGGTTCCTTCCTATTTGAGATTCGTCAGCTGGATATACCTGTATCCTATTGTATATGAATAGGCTAATGGCTGCATGGAATCAGTAGCTCGGTGGATAACGTGTTGTGTATTGGAAGGAAAAAGTACTGGGTATAAGTCTCGGTGTGAAGATCAACATTGGAATGTGCCATGTACATCTAGCTGACAAGTTTTAAATATAACGAAACACGTATCCTAGATTCCACTGCTGACCACATACTATCTATTCACTATTAAGCTTGTAATTAGGTGGATGTATTGAGGGAACTAGATGACGATTCATATCTACCAAAAGAGATTGGTCAAATTTCAGTCCTTAATATCAGCAATGACAATATTCAAGCACTTACGAATAAACAAACTTTTTCTAAAGTTTCCTAACGGTGATCAACCCTTTTACATCAGTTTCAGGTCAAGTTAATCACCATTAACCTTCATATACATTTTTGATCAAGCATTATATAGTTTGATTGGTTTAATTAAATATTCAGCCAGTTGTCAAAGGATTCTACCTTCTGAAAAATGCTGAAAAATAGGTTTACTGAGCACAATTATTAGTCTGATTATCTGCCAAAAAGACATCAAATTAACTACATTTAATTCACTTGGTATTATTTTACTTGAATCTTCCCATTGATGTTTTAGGACTGAAATTGATCAGTCTGTTATTGGCATATGTGCATACTGTGCGTATGCCTCGATATTGCCTTAATTTATAAACATTATAAGCAAAGATGGATAGTGGCTATCAGTGGAATCCAGTTTGACGCGTGTTTCGTCCTGTTTGGGACTCGTCAGCTGGATGTACCTGCATCTCAGACTTGATGTTCACTCTGGAACTCGAACTCAGTACCGTTCACTTCAAACGCCATCGCGTTATCCACTTAGCTACTGAGTGCTGATAGCCACTTTCTTGTGCAATGGGGTGAAGTTTAATTCACATGATATTGTTTTACTTGAATCTTCCCATTGATGTGCAAGTTTATGGTTCGGAAATACGGTCGTTTAAAGAATGAATGATTCTCATCTCGAAACTAGACATTTACAGATCTTTTTTTTTACTTAGCGTCAAACACGATACAATAATCTCAAAGGAATTCAACAAACACACACACACATATTATTATCATCATCTACTAATGGGTCTCAGTATTATTGCACTATGTGAACGATTATTCCCACTAGTATTTACATAACCAAATAACAAAAATGTCAAAGACTATTCAATAAACATATAGAGTAAGTGAATTTATTACTCATTTCAATGATTAGCATTCTCAAGGGAGATGAAATTACTTTTTTGTATTCCAATGTAAGTAGACTTGTAAACTAGGTAATAATAATAAATTATTATCATCATTAATAGTAATAATCGTAATATTATTAATAATAATGATAATAATGATAGGTAAGATGAGAAACATTGCAGTGAATAAACAATATTACTTTTAATGAATACATAGAGACATAGAGTGTGTGTGTGTGTATGTAAGAAATAGAGACCAAGATAGTAGTCCTTCCACTTACAATACAATCATTTTTATATTATTCATTATGTAAAGAAAAGTACAGAGATATTTTTTTTTAAAAAAAGTGCAAAGAGATTTGAAATAGAAGACAAAACAAGGAAAAGTAAAAGAAAACGGTACCTTTATATGTATGTCACTAATTATTGTAATAAATGTATTAAGACCAGTTAGCAATTATAGATCATAGATATATTTTTTTTAATTTTTCAAATCGATACTTAACCCATATGGTGCATAATTATTGATAAGAAGGTCTAGATAGACAAATAAAGAGATGGTATATATGATTACTTGGTTTCCTTTCCTTTTCTTTTTAGCGAGACTCAGTATCATGTTCAATATGAATGTAAGTGCTTATAGATAAATGTTCATATATATATATATATATGTTTGTGTGTGTGTGTGTTTGTTTGTATGGAACTTGGTAGATTCTGTGCATTATAGTTGTTTATTTCCATAGACTAGAGCCAAAATGATAGGAACTAATGACGATTTGATGTCTCTTGTTTACATATATATATATATTTACTTATTTATTTATTTATATATATATGAGCAAACAATTAATAACACAAAACTACAAACAAAAATTGGTGTGTATATGTATGTTTGTACGAAACCAACGAAAAACCAACAAAAAGTGAATTTTCGATGAGCCTAAACACAATTGAATGATGTTGTTGTTTTTATTGCAAAGGGTAAAGGAGCTCATCTGAAACTGGTGTTTTTTTTAATATAAAAAACACACTACCGCTGAATAATGTTCAAAACAACCTTCAACAATGATCTCAAATGTTGAAGGTGACACAAAATAGGTGTATAGGTGAACTTAGGTGTAGGAAGGAAGGTAGGTAGGTAGGTAAGACAATAGGTGTATAGCCAAGGGAAAGGTAGGTATACATGATTGTGTATGTGTATCTATTACTATATTCTATATATGTAATTGATTCACCTTTCAAACAGTCTTAACACACATTATTATTATTAATGTTATGTTAGTATTCTTTAGCTGATGTTCACTATAAGCCCACACACATACATACATACATATATACTAATACAGATATATAGAAAGAGTGAAATGCACAAAAAATAAGTATGTACTGAATACAAATGATCTAAAACTAAATATGAAGCTGAAAAAGTAAACGAACTGGGGTTTAGAGGGTATTGCATAAATGTAAAATAATAATGAACAGTTTGATAGAAAGCATTTGCAATGATGTTATTCCTCTTAGAATACAGTTCATTACTGGTCAATAGCAATTCAATTGTTAATTTATGTAATTTACTCTTCTTCTGGTGCTAAGCTGGCTGTTGGTTTACGAGCACGATTCTGTTAAGAAATATTTAAAGAAATAAACATAATAAAGGAAAAATTCAGGGAATAATATTCATAATAGTTATTTAAACTAATTAGATAAATGAAAATATGAAGAAAAGAACTAAGTGGCCAAGTGGATAATACGACGGCGTTTGAAGTGAACAGTGTTGGGTTCGAGTCCCAGAGTGAGCATCAACCCTGGGATGCAGGTACATCCAGTTGACGAGTCTCATACAGGACGAAACATGGGTCTTTGATTCGACTATTAGCAACCATACATCTTTGCTTATGAAACTTGAGACTTAAAGCAATATCGAGGCGATCTGCATAGGATGCATATGTACCAACAATAAACTGATCAATTACAGTCCTAATCAATAATGGGAAGATATCGAGTGAATGAATTTAAGAAGTTTGTATGGAGAATTACTGATGATACTAGAGTTTATGAACGACCTTTGAGCGACGCTGAAGTGACCTTGAGAGTGTCCATCTAATAACTAGGATCAAATGAGGGTTATAAATCAGGGTGAGGAATTAGAATTATGATTAACAGTTAATGGTTAGGATTAGGAATTAGATTTAGGGTTTTTATCACGAACTGACATAAACTATAATGCCAAAACTCTATTTAGCCAAATGGATGAGTGAATTTTGCTCCAAAATCCGAAACCTGTTAACTTATACCCAACTAGTTCGTCCATATATTTATAGTCTCGCCCAATAACTCATTAGAAGTGCTCACTTAGGATTCTACAAACACAGAATTCAACAAAGATACTTCAGTGTCCGGGTATAATATGGTTCAATAAAAATTAAACACTGAATCTATATCTAATTATGTAAATTACTGTAAACATTTAGCTGATTCGAGGTATAGATAGACAATCGACCAGTATCAACAATGATATCTGTTTAAGCTCAAGAATGGTAGTATTCAATAGACCATAGATCGTTTAACGAATTCAAAGAATTCTCTTTTGAATAACTATAAATAGCAAGTACAAAGTGGTGATGATTATTATCGCTGAATGATCCTGAAATAGGATGAAACAACTATGTTTTCCTTTCCTACCTTTTAACAGTAAGTTCTTTGGTTGATTTCATTTTATAGTGAATAATGGTAACTAACTGAAAAACATCAAACTTGAACAACTTCTACATATGCTTTTTTTTACTAAATCTATATACTTAAATTATACGGATAGTGGCTAGCAGTAAAATCCAGCATGAGCGTTTAGTCCTGTTTGGGACTCGTCAGCTGGATGTACCTGCATCTCAGACTTGATGTTCACTCTGGGACTCGAACTCAGTACCGTTCGCTTTAAACGCTATCGCGTTATCCACTGAGATACTTGTTTGTGCAGTGGGGTAAACTCTAAATTCACATAGCATTGTTTGTTTGAATCTTCCTATTGATATTTAGGACTGTAATTGACGAAACGCGCATCCTGAATTCCACTGCTAGCCACTATTCATCTTGCATATAATGCTTGTGAATTAAAGCTATATCGAAGCAATAAACACAGTATGCACAAATGCCAGTAACAGACCGATCAGTTGCGGTCCTAAACATCAATAAGAAGATTCAAACATACAATACCAAGTGAATTTAAATATACTTAAATGTTTATTTCTACGTCAAAACAGTTTAACTGAAACTTCAGCTACACACAATCATATCTCAATTTTTTAGAAATTGCTGATACTATAATAAGATGTTTTATGTAACGTTTACAACTACCGATCACGGTTATTGTGTTGGTTTCAACTAAATAGCCTAAACCTAAATGGTTTAAACTAATAGTCATTGACTTCGTGAACTGATGAAATGTTTTCATTTGGCCGTCCCCAAATTTCTTTCAACATACTCCTGAATTAAACAACATCGTCCATCGAAGAAAGCTTCTATGGTCAAATATTTTTAACCTATAAATGAATATCCTATATTTTTAAAGGCCAAATATGTCAATCATAAAGTATAGAAGAACGAAATGCTGTGCAGTATAAGCATTTCTTCGCTGGCAGAAAGATGTTGCCTATGCTGCATAGGCAACTCAACTTTCTAAATCCATAGCTGATAAGATTTTTTGAAATAAATGAAACCGTTGACCTTACCTAGGATGAATAACTCATCAGACAATGATTGTAGAGAATAGTTTAAAAATGAATACTTACTGCATGTCCAGGTCCACCAGCTGGTGCAGCGCTTACACCACGTGCTGTTGATACTGATGATCTATTTTTAGCTCGAAGTTTTTGTAATGCTTGTTCTGCTTGATCAGCACGTTCTTCAGCATCTTCAATTTCATGTTGTATTTTACGATATTTAGCTAAATTGATAGCAGCAATCTCTTCAGCTTCTTCAACTTGTCGTTTGTATGTTTTAATTTTACCTTGAAGTTTCTCAACTAATTCTTGCATACGATCATGACTCTTTTTGTCTTCTTCAGCCTAGAAACATACAAAAAGCATAATTATATACATTATGTTTAATCTTCAATTTGAAACAATCTTTCCAACTAATTGATTCCTTTAGTTTCTATCATTTACACCATGAATTGACTTTAGTTAGACAATCATTGAAAACTTGAAAATATTAAAATAGTGTACCAATTCTCACTTGTGTGTAAATTCACGATCCCATTATTGGGAATCGAAGCCAGAAATAATAAGTCTCGTTGAGAGAACTTTAATAACAAATCATTCAGTCAGTATTCAGTGCTTCACAATGATATCTTGATTTAATTCAAGTCATTCATCAATGAAGATTATCTTCATCCTCATTTTACTGACATCGTAAATTACTTCATCTTCATAAAGGAGATAAATATGTAGTGTCTTTTTTGTTTTACTGAAAAGGTTTTTCTTTTCTCAATGAATAATTAACTTACTTGTAAACTAATTTCTTTCATTCGTCGATCAACTTTTCTTAAATTCTTTTGAGTTTCACCATGTCTACGTTGTTCTGCTTCCAATTCTGTTTCTAATTCACGTACACGTTGTTCTAATTTACCCATTGCCTTACGACCATTTTTCATAGCACCTGATTCACTGTCTTCTAAACGAGCCATTAGTTCTTTTACCTTAATTAATGAAGAAAGAATCGGTTAAATAATTGAAATGATAATAAATCTGGAACTGTTATTACTGTTACATTGAAATATTAATTTAGATCACAAATGAAACAGTATAAATGTCTATGAAATAAACATCATATCCTTTGAAAACGTTAATGTTTGTCTGAACTCAGTAATTCAATGAATAATGTGTTAGTGTTTGAAACAAAGATTACTGAGTTCGAGTCGAAATGTGAATGTCAACACTAGGATACAGGTATATCCAGATGGTAAGTTTTCAAAACAAACAAAAAAACTGGATGAAACACAGGTCTTCAATTCCACTAATGGGACAAAGTTCAGGAAATCCTATAAAACTTTCACAAACAAAAATAATCTGGTACAGAATGCATAATGTTGGGACCCCAGAAAACATAATGAATGGTAACTTTGGGATCCTTTTATGGACCAATAGTAAACGTATATTTCTATTGTATAGTTATTAAATAACTAAACTATTCATATTCATATTCCTCTTACTATGAGCTTTATTTTGACCTATGAACCATTATTATGCGTTTCACCATTCTTGAGTTATACTCAGTATATTGATTACTACCTCCCTCATTCACAGTCACATCTGGCTAATTCTTATACAAACGTTGTTTCATATTATATTGGTACGTTGTGGTCTGTTTGATTGGTATATAAACTCAGTATGCTTGAAATATAATGATTCATATCTCAGAGGCTGAGACTTGCGTTCTGGATTTAACTGGCTAGGCTAGGCGGAAAGCAGGGCCAATCACGACTCTAGGTCGTTCTTACTTGTTTTACGCGTCTTTGGGCCGATCGATAATTCGCTGCCATCTAATCTGCAGTCACAGCTATAACACATAAATCCTATTCTTTAATAATGAGACTACGCTAATTAGCCATTCTGCCTTTAGTTCAGTATAAAAATTTCAAAAACAAACAAAATATATCAAATAATTTCTTTACTTGTATTTCAAGTTGTTTTCTAGCTTTTTCAACATGTTGTGTATGTTCTTGTTCTTGACGAATTTCTTCAAATACACGTGCGCTATCAGCCATAGCTTTTTTAGCTCGTTCATCAGCTTGTTTAGCTTCATTGGCAGCTTCTTCTAAATCGGCCTAATAAAAAAAGCAACAACAAAATAGTAAAAAATCAGAGAATTAAAGAGAGGAATGTAATCCGGGTTGGGTGAGGTATAGTTACTCACTGAATAAAATGGAAGATGATCGCACAATATATTGTGGATTGATTGCAGTTAGACATTACCAACGTTGGATGCTAGCACACTGATCTATAAATTAAGCATTTGTGCGCAAGATCAAAGGTTCAGGGTTTCAGTCTCACGTGCATGATCGTGGGTACGTACTCCTGAGTTCCATACTAGAACGAAATGGCTGTCTATTGCTTTTAAGTTTTTAATGGTGGTCTAACATCGAACAGTTCATGATTTCAGTAAAATAATTAAGGTGTATACATGTAAAGCTATTAATGTTAATAAGATGGAAATAATATCTGTTACCCTTTGTTTCGTCATCCCTCTTATTGACATGTCAAGCTAGCTGGTATGTAATAGTAGTTTGGGTAAGAGCTGAGCTAGAGATAGACAGATCAAGCAAATAATATAAATCTGTGAAGCTATTGACAGTTGATCTCTACATTATGATTATATAAGTCGACCTCCTTTAATGGAATACGTGTAACGACCGCATTAATCAATGGTTAGAAAAGTTGTGTTATAAGACCTAAAATTACTCGTCAGTTTGAGTCGATTGCACTAATTTCTTATCATCTAATAAATCTTGAGGTAATTATCACTACGAAAAATGTTCATTCTTTGACTCAGTATGTTCTATTTGCATTTCATTCTTCATATGGAAATCATTTCATTCGTTCTTATCTCCACTTCTCATCTTAATGGTTTTCTCTTAAGTCATACATGAGTAGTATGTAGCAAGAATTAGAAATAAAATGCTTACTAGTAGAAGATTGAAATAAAGAGAAGTAAAACGAAGAATAATCGAAACGACAACAAAATCGGAAAAATGATGAAGTGTATAAAGGATGGAAATGGATAGGAAAAACATTACGCAAATCATCAAACTGCATCCCGAGGCAAGCCCTAACTTGGAATCTTGAAGGGATGCGGAAAAGAGGAAAGCCAAAGAGCACATTACGTCGGGAAATAAAATCAGATGTGAAAAGGATGAATAACAACTGGAAAGAGCTGGAAACGATTACCCAGGACAGGGTTGGGTGGCGAGAGTTTATGGGCGGCCTATGCTCCTACACAAAGAGTAACAGGCGTAAGTAACTAAGTAATAAAGGATAACTCAGAATTTTCGTATAAGTTAACATATTAGAATGTAAGTGAGCGAAGAACCCAGGTGGGGAAGACCACTTTACTGGTTAATGCAAAATTACAGAGTGTGTTAGTAAACAATGAAGACCTAACATTATAAATATCATTTGCATAGTTTTTATCAGTTGCCTCTTGCGATCTTCCCCACTCTTTTCTGTTGTTATTTTGATTGCTGTTAATTTTCCTCTCTCTTTTCTTCATTTAAATTCTTCACAATCTTTGGCTTGCAGGCATTTCACTTCTGATTGATGCTACATACCACTTATATCTATTAACATAAGTAGCATACACTACAAGTATTCAACCATTAAGACATTTTTATAATTCAGTTGAATCAAGTATTTTTTTGAAAGCGATTTGTGAAAACTGGTTTGTTTTTGTAATTTTTACCTGCCATAGGTTGATCTCTTTTAGGATATTATTAAAAACTAGATATCAATGAACATCTGTCTCGTCCCAGTTTGAAACGTATCAGGAGTGCTCACCTATGATTCTACCCGTGGTCGAACCCTGAATCTTCAGATCTCAAGCTGAAAACTTAAGTATTATAATCCTTTTAATCAGTTCTCGGTGTTATAATTCTAACTTCAGTCAATTCGCAATAAAGCACAACGACTACTGCATGTTCTTAGTGACATCTGTCTCACTCCTGATATATCTGAAGTCAACTAATCACGAAAACTCACTGGTGGTACATCGCTGAGGAGTCATATACTAGGGCAAATTAGCTGTTCAATGCTTCCTTGTTTTTATTTATGTTCTAACCTAGATGACGAATCCTATAATGAATGCAATCTATATATTGTTACTAATACTTTTAGGTCTCAAGAGTAGTTGAATAGAGTCCAGACGTAAACAAAATCTATTCATCATTATTCACTAATGTTAGTTATTCTTAAATTATTTATTTTAGAAAAATAAACATAATTATTAAGTCTTACTTGCATAGCAGCTAAATCAGCTTCAAGTTTACGTTTTTGTGCAGCTAATGATGCAGTTTGTGTAGACATTTCTGTCGCTCGATCTGATGCTTCAGCACGTTCAGCTTCAGCTATTTTACGACTACGTTCAGCTTGATCTAATGCTATACGTAATTCATCTAATTCACCAGCTAATACAGTTGCACGACGTTCAGCAGCTTGAAATTGTTCACGTAAATCATCACGTTGACGTTGATCATCTTCTAATTGTGATTGTAATTCACGTACTTGTTGTTGGAACTTTTTCACATTTTTCTCTTGTTCAGCTCTAGCACGATTTGCACCATCTAAACTAACTTCTAATTCGTTAATATCTTGTTCAAGTTTCTTTTTTACACGCATAGCTTCTGCTTTACCCTTTGCTTCAGCTTCTAAACTAGCTTGTTGTGATTCCATAGCTCGTTGATGATTTTTACGAGTAGCTTCAAATTCTTCTTCTTTTTCAGCTAATCGTCGATCAATTTCTTGACGAATCTTATTAATAGACAAATAACAAAATATTTTAAAAAAATGATATTGGGTATTAGAGAAAGTAAAAAATGGGGGGGGATCTCATCAATAGAAACAACTTGTTTACCAAAATCATTCAGGGATATTAGTTCAAAAGATGTGCTTGAAAAAAAGGGAAACTACTCCCAAATGTAACCATTGGATAATTTAATGAACAGTAAACTTAAAAAGGTGAATAACAGAAAATGTGTTCAAAAATAATTTACAAACAATCTCCAGGGAAATATGTTTTCAATTACTCCAGTATAACATTATCGACTATTCAGCTACATGCATTATCCCTTGGTTTTATATTTTGTAGTATGTCTACCAACATGCATGAACTCAACAGGTAGTGCTTTTACTTTGATTTGTCAAGGTCAATATCATCAATTGATGCATTTTTGTATCGGTTGTTTGAATTTTCCGATTGATGTTTAAGACTGTTATTGATCTGTCTCTTATTGCATATGTATATCCTGAGGGAATTGCTTTAGGTAACAAGTATTATAAGCAAATATGGATGGTGTCTCGAGTCCCGGAGTGAACATCAACTCTGGGGTGCAGGTATATCCCAATTAAAACGAAACATGTATCTTAGATTTCACTGCTAGCCACCATTCATCTTGCTTATAATATTATCAATTATTTTTGTTCTATCCTTTAAACATAGAAAGAAAGTGTAGCATATTTTTGATCGGTTTAGTCAAAATAATTATTGTGATGTAATGCCACTTGCTGTTACATAATCGAAATAACACTTAAATGAGATTGACAGTTCTATTTATACGTGATTATAATTAGGATGGATCATTGAAATGACTATTTAGATGTAATTGTATAAGTAATTATTTACAAGTAAAGTTTATTGAATGGACTTTAGTCATAACGTATAGGTATCAGGTTAGTAATGTTAAGTCGCCTCAATCTACTGTTTAGTATTATAAATAATCAATATTATGTTTAATGAATACATCTGATGTTTACAATTAAACAGAACTATGAATGTTCATTATGTAAAACAATGATCTGACAACAGAAGAGAACAAGGACAGAGAGCAATTGGTATGGAAATCAAGGAATAGTCAAGTCTGAGACAATTCATAGACATTTTGTAAACTAAGGAATTGAACGTACAGTTTTTACATTTCACCAAATAACTCTGTAATTTTATGTTAAAATATAATCGGTTGTCCCCACCTGTGCTCTCGTTCATAGCACTAGCCGTTACTTTTAGATTGTGACTCGAAGTCAAATACACCGAATGAAGTTGACTATGAAAAACGTTTTGCCCAAAGTTTCAATAGTAATCTCATTACAATAAGAAGTAAAATAATCTTTTTTAAACATTTATATTCTAGTTCATATTTAATGTGAAAATATCAGTTGAATGTAATTTTCATCCTAAAATGAGATTCAGTTGAAGAAACGATTAGCTATTACATTCCCACTGTAATTAGTTTAAAAGTATTTGTGTCAGGTGTGAGGCAGTCACTCACTGAAAACAATCGATGATGGTTGCGGAATGTCATGAATCGATCGAAATTAGTCATTAGCACCGTTCGATTGAAGGTCCTGGATTAGGCTCCTACGTGCAAGACCATGGATGTGTACTACTTAGAAGTTCCATATTAGGACGAAACTGCTTCTACGTTTTCAATGGTGGTTTAACATTGATCGATTCATAATTTTAAGAAAAGTATCCTATTTTTTCAGAACACTTGGAGGCTCCATTGACTAATATGTCATATATTTGCATTCACTGGATGTAATCAGTAAGAAACCCTATTTAGACGCAGGTTTCAAGCTAGTTATCAATCTCATTAGTAATGCGTACCAGTAATGTTAATGGAACTCTATACAATTCTAATCCGTGCCATCACTGACCTTCACAGTCTGATAAATTTAAGTTCTGAATGACCTGTGAGTATAAAATGTATTAATTTTTTCTGGAATGATAACAGGAAAGATGACATGGAAGTTTAAAAACTTATTTAGGTGGAGCTTTATTCTCTGAGCTGGATTGTCTGATCGTGGAGCTTTCATTGTTCTTCTGAACAACATCATCAGAACAAACTTCGGGTGAAAGTATAGTGTTAAAATTTTGTCTGTATGAACATAAATTAGCGGTCAAACTATATGACATATCCTAGCTTATATCAATGCATGCGGACAACTGTAAGCACACATTTGACCGGAAAAATGTTTAGACCTTGGATAAAGAGAATACTAAAAGTACCATAGGATTCTTAGAAGTTTGGCATTCAGGTCAATCAACAAACACATTGAAATCGATCCAACCTATCAACCAATCAGAAATACCATAGACAAACATGGGACCAAGAATCAAAGTGATGAGAGATACAGTCAAGATCGAGGTCGACAGGACAGGCTGTGAGTTATATATATAGAAATTCGAACACGTCACTTCTAGATGACGTTTGTGCTCATGACTTCGTTCAGAAGAACAACAAAAGCCCCACGACCAAAACATACAACTCAGCTAACAAAAGTTCATTCGAATCATCCACCGCAGCTACAAATCTTCTCCACCATCTCAGAAAAAAAATTATTACTGCCTATCCTCAATAATTCTCTCTTACTTACTTGACTCATTTCAAGTTGAGCACGTTGAACCTTAGCTTCTTCTTGTTCCAATGCACTTTCAGCTTCTTCTAATGCAGCTTGTAGTTCCTCCTTTTCCATTTCAAGTCGTCGTCTATTTTTATCAATTTCATGTACTGAACGTCCACCTTCACCCAACTGTTCAGTTAAATCATGAATTTCATCTAATTATAAAAGAAATTAATAATTAAATCAAACGATAATTATTTCACTAATAACATAAATGAAATTAGATTGTACTAAAAATCATTAAGTTTACAACTCAGTAATTACGCTGGTTACCCTAAAATAAGTTAACACTACGGAAACGTTATTTTATTCAGTAAAGATTGTTCAATTTCACAGATCATAAAGCGAATTGACATTATTTAGGAAATTCCTGGAAACCGAGAAATACTCGACAGCTATTTCGTCCTCGTGTGGAATTCTTCAGCAGTTACGATCCATGCCTCCTCACAAGCGGGGGTCGAACCCAAGACCCTCGAGTCTCCTGAGGATCGTTTATTATTTAAACAACTGAGTGGGCATCATGTGGTTCGCATTATTGACCTTAATCAAGTCGCGATATTATGCAATTACATTCTATTATCATAGGTGAGTGAAATTCATGACAAAATTTATAGAATAGTGTGAGTACTGTAAATAGCGTCTTAAACTGCCTACATAATGTTTAATAGATAGTAAGCTATTACGATAACCTCTGATTTGTTTTAAAATGCAATCTTCCAATGGAATAGGTTATTTACACAAAATTGATAATAAGATGACATGCTAAAGACACGGGGTCACTGCCTAATTATTAGAGATATCTTTGAGTAGTATATTTCATCAGAAAAATTGTATAATTTTGTGAAGAACCATAAAGCCTGATGATGAATAGACAGTTTTCGTTGACTCCGTCAATTGAATGCTTGAAATCTTATTCATTTGTAACTAAGTGACAAATTATTTATTCTAATCACTTGATTTTATACAAATTTTGTTAGTGAAAAACGTTTCGTCCAGAAATGAAGCTAAAGAGCTTCGCCTTTCTTCTTCTTCTTTCTCTCTTATTCTGTTTAGGTTAGTCAACTGTTCAGTACTCTTTGCAGCCAAAATTTATAGATCAGTGTAACTGATGATCTCGGGCTCTCTATATATTGTTAAGTGAGATGTTAAAATCATTCATACTTAAGTAATAATGATAATAATAATAATCATTAATTAATATTATTTATCCAATACATAACAATCAACATACCACTCAAATTCTTATTTTCTCTACGAAGTCCTTCCATTTGCTCATGTACTTCTTCTAATTGAGCTTTTAATCTGAAGATTTCAGTTGATTGACCCCGTGCATCACGTTGAGCATTTTCTAATTCAGCCTATATTAACCAAAAAAAGAATAACAAGAAAGGTTGTTATTGATGGTGAAGATTGTTGAATAATTTAGTTTATATCAATTATCATTGGAATTCAAGAATTGGTGAACAGTTATTCTAGTCGAATACTTGACATATTACTATTGTGTAAGTCTATGATCAAATTGAACTGAGGATTGAAGCTAGACCACCATGGAAAACCTTGAAGCACTGGATAATCTTTTCGTTCTAGTATGGGCGGGATCGTGGATGTGCACCGCTGAGGAGTCCCATACTAGGGTGAAACGGCCGTCCAGTGCTTCCAGGTTTCCATGGTGGTCTGGCTTTAATTGACTCATGATTTCAACCAGTGAAATTTCTAAAAATCTCCGCAAAACCCATTCTGATGAACTGAGGATTGTTTAATTTGAACTGCGACAAGACAGTTGTCTTATGCTTCCTGGTTTTATAATTCATTATGATCATCTTATAATGTACAGTATACATTTAAATCTGACTGAATAGTAAGTATTAGCTTCAACAGAAGTTATATGTCTCAATTTTTAATGATATCTAACCTTCTTTTATGTTGTAATTTATAATAATCTGTAATGAATTGCAAGTTAATATAAGTTCTCACAAAAGATATTTATTGTCTATCAATAATTTACAGCAGTATAAAATTGTAAGCAAAGATAGATAGTAACCACCAGTGGAATCTAGGATTCGCGTTTCGTCCTATTTGGGGCTCGTCAGCTGGATATACATGCATCTCAAAGCTGATATTTCAAATGAAAATTGTTACCAAGATTCTAGGTTATCTAATTTTATCTTTTTCCTGGTAATTCTTTTTTTAACAAAACCTTGAAGATGTTTTTCTGAATTCGTATTTCTACCTGAATGTTTTTATCTTCTAATTGTTTGTTATCACTTTTAAGTTGAGTAAATTCTTCGCCCTACAATGTCTGCTACATTTAAAGAGATTACGATATCACCTAAAACTGGCGAAAGAAACGAAAGTCAGAAACATAACAACAGGACAAACTAAACAATTCCATTGCGCCTAGTCTTGATAACTAGAGAGAGAAGACCGGATTCAGCAGTGGGAAAAGTATATTCCATTAGCAGTCGGAAGCACGAACGAACATATATATATATATAAATATATATAAAGTACAAAATGTCTTTAGGAACTGTTACAAAATAGTATATTAAAAGAGGAAATGAACCAATGACATTCAAGGTCCTTCCAAGTAAGAAAAACAAACAGAAGGTAACAGTGAGTGCTTTCTGCGCGAAAATGAGAAATTCAAATTTCACTGGTTGAAATCATGAGTCAATTGAAGCTAGGCCATCATGGAAAACCTGGAAGCACTGGACAGCCATTTCGTCCTGGTATGGGACTCCTCAGCAGTGCGCATCCACGATTCAACTTTCCAAAACAAAATTACAAAAATGAGACGTTTACCAAGCGATTTCTGGGGATCAACCATTCTCAAGAATGCCACCTTTTGTCTTCGTTAAATATCCTTTGTTGAAGATTATTTTCAAAAGGTTTTGTATATTAGTTACAGCCTTATCATGTTTATGATAGATTCTGTTTGTATTAAAATAATTTTGATTAGTGACTACGTAGGCTAAACCGAGAATCCAATCAATATCGTGTATCAAGATTTAGTTGAAACTTATCTCCAACAAATAAAGTATAAGCTCATCACTTCAGAAACTGTTTATTTGTAAAATTATAACGTAATATAATCTACTGAACAGAATTGGAAATATATACTGAGTCAGGAATGCTACTCATAAATCTTCCAATGAAACATTAATATTTCTTCTCTCTACAATATCACTTTCAAGTTTGTCTCATGAAAGCAGTTATTAAATAACCAGACGTTTAGATGTCAGTCCAGATATTAAACACTATGTGATTACTTAGAAGAGAAATATCAAACAAGTACCTATAAGCCTCTTGTTTGAGATCCTGAAAGATTATCGAAATACGACTCTGAGAAGCTTTATACAAAGAAGAAACAACTGTTAAATGTTTGCTATTTTCCTTTGACTGCTTACTTATAAACAGCTTATGATAGAAACTAACAAATATCTGTGATTTTATTTAGTTTCATGCAATAACTCACTTGAGAATCAGCATATTTCTTTTGCCATTCAGCTAATGTACGATTGAAATTATTTTGTTTACGTTCTAATTGACTAGCTAAACCATTAGCACGTTCAACATCAACCATTAAATCTTCTAATTCACCTTGTAAACGTGCTTTCGTTTTTTCTAATTGTCCACATTTTGATTTGGCTGATTCAGCTTCTGATTCTAATTCTTGTATTTTAGCATTCATTTTACGTTTTAATTCTTCAACTTCTTCAGAACGTACATCTCCACCACCGCCACCACGTGAACGTAATTGTTGTAATTCACCTTGTAATTTTTGTAATTGACGTTGTAAATCACCTTTAGCTGATTGTTCTTCTTCTAATGTTTCACGTAATGAATCTAAGTCACTAGTTAAATTACGTACTTCACCGTTTAGTTTAGCTTTCATCTAAATAAATAATAGAAAAAAGAATTATCTAAAAGAAAAATATAAGAATATCATTTATAGTACATTTCTATTTATGATATTTGCGACTTAAGGTAATATCCATGCAGTCCGCATAGGATGCACATATACCAATAAGAGATTGATCAGTTAATGTCCTTAACACATGAATGAGAAAATTCAAAAATCAATAGAAAAACTCATTACACTACATTTGGCTGGAAAGTACTAAATTAGATTAGATAAGAAAAGTGAATCAGAGTATAACTCAAAGTAGGTAAGGTTTAGGTTATCACAATGTATGAGATGTAGCTTCGGAAACATAATGACATATCTTATCGTTTTTGTACAATTAAGAACCTATTTAATGCAAAATATCTATTTTTATCTTTCAATAACCTATGCAGTGATTATGATGAATATCACAATTATAAAACGTTGAAGAATTGCTTAACACCTATGTTGAATGAAAATCTGTTCACATCACTTTCAATGAAATCTGAAATTTATCTGTTTTTCTTGTATTGTTGGGTACTAGAAAAAGTGAATCCGAAAAATAGTATATGTCACTTTGTCTCACTAAATTCCATTGCCAGGATTAAGGCCTTTAAAAATACAGAATTGATGTGTCAATACTACACGTCAAAAACTTGTGGATTTTCGACAATAAATAGATAACACTTTAGCTATGTTGTCATTTTCATAGTTGGCCGATACTATCGGTAATCCATTGTTCTTTTCAGGTATCTCAAAAAATAGTATACTTCAACATCATAAGCAATCGGAAATTGAAAACCGCCATAACGCTCCCGGTGAGAAAGATTACAACCAACGGAATCAAGCGAAGACCGTGTTTTATTTCGGGAAGTGATTAAAAATAGTAATGTGAACTATTGCATTTTGACACAATATTCAGTGAGTATATTAGTCCTTGTGAGATCTTAAAGCCTTAAGCTAAATTGGGGTTAGATAATTACTAGGGAATTATCAACGAATAGTAATTACCAAGCGGGTATTCAGCAAATCTAGTGCGAAACGATTGATTTCCAGATTTCTATAGTCAGTCTCACTGTTTTTATCACCTCAGTAACTGCCATATGAATACTACTCTAATTCAGTTGACCATTAGATACTTGTAGGTGATTATACCTGTTAACTAACTTAAAATTACAATGTATTATCCATAATTAATTTAATAAACCATCATTATTCTTTACACATACTCGACTTTCATCTTCCAAACTATGACGTGCTTCTTCAAGTTGTGCACTGAGTTGTTGTTTAATTTTGTTCAATTGGCTTAATTGTGACTCAGCTTCTTCTAATTGTCGTTGTAATTCAGAAACTTCTTGACTGCTGCGTGCTTTAGTCGAAGCTTGCTCATTCAAATTTCTTGTAGCTTCATCTAATTTCACTGAAACTTCTTGTAACTGAGATTCTAGAGCCTTCACTGTTTTCTCAGAATTCAACTAGATTTTTTGCAATAAAAAAATGAAAGTAAACAAGATAAAATAAATTATATCAGATTAGGTTCAATAAATTCTGAATAGAATAGTCTCAGTGATCTAGATATTAAATATTCACGCGAGAGATCGAAAGTCCTGCATTCGAGTCCCATGTGTGCGGGATCATGGATACGCACTACTGAGGAGTCCCAACGCTAGGACGAAACAACCATCCATTGATTTCAAGTTCTCAGTAGTGATCTACCCTAGATCAATTCATGAATTTAACTATTAAAATTACTACAATCTCCACAAATCTCCATTCAGAATATAATTACTTATAAAAGTACAGAATAGGGATGAACCAATCAGAATTAAGAAAAAATCTATTGACCTTTATCGCGCAAAATTCAAATGTGTATGACGTTTATTTTACATCACATCGGCTGAAAAATAGAAAAATAACTTTATGTAACGTTTGGAAAGTTTGCAATCATGACAACAAACGATGTTTAGTCACCATAATCTAAGAGAGATATTAACAATCGTTACAAATATCTAATAATTCCTACGTGAATTGTATCTAACATGTGAAACAATCATAATGTTAACACATACGAAGTAAATTTGATCATCAAAAGAAAAAAGGAGAAAAAATTACTTCAAAAGGAAGAATCACTGATCTACTTACTTTAGCTTTCATAATACTATCCACCTGATTATGTGCATCATCTAATTCAGCTTTGAATTGACTTCGTTCTTTTTCAGCCCTATGAGTAAAAATAATTATAAATGTACTAATATAGAATATTAATTAAAAACATGAATTGATCAACGTTAGGTAAGTATGGAAAAATTTGGAAGCAATATACTATTGTTTCGTCCTAGTATGGAACTCCTCGGTAGTGCGCACCGATAATCTCTCGTGCAGGACTCGAACCCATGGCCTTCGGTCTCACAAGCAAACGTTTTACCACTGGATCATTCAGCCGGCATTCAACAGTGTTAATATTTAACTAAAATCAATCCTTGATATATTGTGCGATCATGTTCAAATGTCTTAGGTGGGTGACTGCTTTACATCCGACACGGTTGAACTCCACTAGTTACAGTTTCTCATCGCTGAGGAGTCTCATATTAGGGCGAAACACCCACCCAGTGTTTGAAGATCTTCAATAGTGATCTAACATTGATCAGTTCATGATCTCACTCAAAACTCAACAATCTTCACTATCCTATACTAGAATAGAATAATAAATCTAATGAATTTTTTATTATGAAAAATTTTGTAGAGATTATTAAATTTTCGGTAGTTTATTTCATGAACTGATATCTTGTTAAGCAACTATTTAAGACTAGAAAACACTGAATGAAAAGTATTGTAATTATAAACTAATATGTAACTCAGAGAATACCGAACAACCCAGAAGCTTCCAGATAAGCAAAAAAACTGTTTTTTCATACTTATTTCGAAATTCCTAATGATCAATGTTAGTTATTCGTATTCAATAAAGTATCATTAGTAAATATTTGGAGATAATTATACCATCCAGTATATTAGACAAGTTATAGTTTAAAGTCAGAATAGTTTATTGTTGGGGACGTTAGATCCCCAGAACTCAATTGGGAAAAGACTTAATTTTGTAATTTTATTTAGAAAATTGGAATTTCTCTGGTTTCGCGCCAAAGGCGCTCTTGTCACCTTCATGTCGTATTTTCCACTGGGAAATATCTTAAATGCTATTGGTCCGTTGCGTCTTTTATTATGCTATTTGGTAACTCTCACCAAAGACGGTTTTGCACTGTATATATGCGTTTTGAATTGTGTTTGTTGTTATCGCTCGTTTCTAGCTGTTTTGCAGAATACACTTTCCCATTCCAAGCTTGGACTTCTCCCCCTAGTTAGCGGGGCTGAGACGCATCAATAGCTAGCTTACTGGTCTTTGGTCACCGAGTCTTGTTCTCGTTCGCAGATTAAGTGAACTCATGATAGCTTTAAACCTAGCACTTATTCATAATGTCACAAGTGATAACCACTCTCCAAGATATGAATCAATCGTGGAGAAAATGTTATTCACTTCAACTAATACAATTCAATCCCTAAAATAAAGGGATACTTTTCAAGAGAAGTGAGATGATAGGCTAGTTGGATTTAAACAGGTTGTCTATGAATCAAAGTAGTAGGTGAGAAATAATAAATTAAGCACACACTACTAAAGGGTGATAGTTATGTAATTGATCAGATTCTTGTCTAGTCCAGAAGGGTGTATATGAGAATATGACTTAATGTTTAGTGTATCAATCGATTCACTTTTTTCAATTAGAGCTTCATAGTTATTTGTTATGCTTCTACTCATATAACACAATTGGTAATGGTATAAGAAGCATGTGTGTATCTAACCGAATCAGACGTTTTGCATTGCAACAATTACATATTTGGTTTTTTTTATTGAAAAAGGACAAGAACAATAGAAGAAATTTCCCTGATAAAAAGTATATTATTGTAACCAGGTGGCTTGTTTGAATATCTGGGTTACCTGTTTCTATCATTTAAATACTTCAACAAGTTATCTGTTTCCTTGTTTATTTTGACAGATCATTATGTCAATTGATTGCATAATCTATTCATCAGGTGAGTTTGTGAAAAATTCACGACATTTCATTATAGACGTTATAAAAGAGGGTAATCAGAGATATCATGTTAGCTAGCAATATGCATTGAAAGAATGAACATTATTCAAATGTTGATTCTTGAATTACTAACATCTTAACTGGTGATCACTCAATATTTATCGTCAGGATGGATCAAGAAAGTAAGAAAAAGAAACCTGTTGAAATACTTTTTGCTGAGACTTATATACTGTATCAAATATATAATATTAAATAAAGCCATTCATAATAATAATCTCAGCGAATGAATTTGAAGTCAATCCAGCGTTTCGCCTGGCAGTCTGGTTCAAACTTCTTCAAGGATATAAAAGATATTACCTGAGATTTTACAAATACATTCTTACTCTTTAATGTCTCACATCAACTCGGAGTCCAAACACTGTGATACTATTTGACCAAATTTAGACGAAATTTCTTATTCCTTAAAGATAGTTTCATAATTTAAACAGATTGGAGATTGATATCCTTGTGAAGTAAAATATTAGAGATTATAATAATAATTCATCAGTGTCAGAAGAGGTAATGTTCCAGCTGAGTATTTTTACATTTAGGGTACTTTCATTTCCAGTGTTATTGAATAACACTTAGTCTTAATCATTAGTAAAACATTAATTTGATAATTAAATTCATGGGTCAATTGAAGCTAGACCACCATGGAAAACCTGGAAGCACTGGACGACCATTTCGTCCTAGTATTGGATTCCTCAGCAATGCGCATCCACGATCCCGCCTCCCGCGAGATTCAAACCCACCGTTAGATACCAGCTCAGTGGTCTACAGGTTTAGCGTTCGCGGGGCGGCATAGTGGATGCGCACTGTTGAAGAGTCCTATACTACGATGAAACGGCCGTCCACTGCTTCCAGGTTTTCCATGGTGATCTAGCTTTAATTGACTCATGAATTCAATTATTAAATTGCTACAATCTGCATAACACCCCTCTCTGAATAAAATATGAAGTTAATAATATTTTTCTTACTTTGCTTTAGCTTTATTGGCTTGATCTAATTGATCAGCTAATTCATTGACAGCATCACTTTGTTTTTTACGCATTGTAGCTATTGCTTGTTCATTTTGTAAACGTGTATCTTCTAAATCACGTTTTAGTTTCATTAGTTCTGCTTCACGTTTTTTAGTTAAATCACTTTGTGCTGCTGTAGCACCATCTTGTTCTTCTAAACGATCTACAACTTCTTCTAATTCACTTTCAAGCTTTTATTGTAATATTTTTGAAAGAAAAAGGAAGAAAGAAGAAAAAAGTTTATTAGCTAAGTAAGCAATGAATATTTAAGCAGAGATGGATAGTAGCTACCAATGGAATCCATAACGCGCGTTTCGTTCTATTTAAGACTCATCAATTGAATGTACCTACATCTCACATGTGTCATTTATTCTGGGAATCAAACACAGCAATATTCACTTCAGATACCGTCACATTATCTATCTAATTAGCTACTGAGTACCGATAACCACTGACTTGTGTCACGGAGTGAAATCTAATTCATTTATATTGGTTATTTTCTGTGTTTAAGACTGTAATTGATCAGTCTCTTTTCGACATATATGCATCTTGTACGGATCACTTCGATGTTATCATTGTTAGTCAACATCCATCGGTGCTTATAATGCTTATGATTTAAAGTAGCATCAAGACAATCACTAGGTGCTTGGTTTGAGACCTAATGTGAATATCAACAGTACAGTTCAGGTACACTCATCTAATTAGTCACAAATAGGATGAAATACATCTCTTATCTTTCATTATCACCTATGGTAAATCTATTCTAAATAAATTATACAATTAATAAGCAATTTTAATTTTAATTTCACTATTATACAGTTGGTTAAGTTCCGTAAGAAGTTTTATGAATTCATTCATTTCTATTCTTCTCTTAGTTTTACTAACATATATGTATCTTGTTTAGGTTTTACTTTCATATAGTACTAATCTGATGGTGATCGGTGTGCTGTTTTCGTATTCCAGAAATCTAACGACAAGAATAAGTAACTTGTATTTCAGAATTCAAGGACCATTTTCCACCAAAATCTGTAGAAGCATTTAAAACCAGGTACGTAAGTAAACAAACCCCTTATTGTTTATTTAAGATTTCTCTGAAATAGTGCACATTATTGATCTTATACAGTAATAAAACTGACAACCATCATATTATACTGCTAACATAATAAATTTAGATAATTGAACCACAACTCAGTGGATCATAAATTCACTTGATGTTGTTTGCTTGTATCTTTTGCTAGGTTCGATTCCAGGCGTGAACAACAACTCTGAAATGCATGTCCATCCAGCTGGTGAGTCCCAAATCGGACGAAACGCGAGCCCTGGGTCTCACCGCTAGCTACTATTGATAATATCTGAACAAATGTGGATTCATTTTCTGTATTGTATTTCAATTATTCTTCAACTAATATCGATTTGTAATGAAATCCATCTTCTAATTATACTAATCTTTGACATTCTCTCCCCCCCTCGATAACTTATGTTTGTGTATTATCTCTCAATAGTTGAAACTCATCTGATCAACCGAGTTAAGCAAAACATAATTCATCTTCTCCATAGTTAACATTCTTTTACTTTGAATATAAGTTTGTAATTTAAACTGCAAAATTTTACTTACCTGTTGTCGACTTTTCTCAGCTTTTGAACGAGCTGCACGTTCCGCTTCTAAATCTTCTTCTAATTCTTGTATACGTGTTTGAAGTTCTTTAATTTTTCTTTGTAATTGTGCAACTAAACCTTGTTCATCTTCAAATTTCCCACTTAAACCACTAATTTCAGCTTCTTTACGTCGTAATTGCTCTTCTAAATCACGTTTGACACGTTCCAAATCATCAACAGTTTCTTGTGTAGCTTTTAAATCACCTTCTAATTTACGTTTGGATTTTTCGACATCACCACGAATCTTTTGTTCACGAGCTAGATTTTCTTCCATCTATATGAACAAAAGGTAGTGTGAAGTAATAAAAATAATGTGATAAGTAAACAAAACAGTACTACAAGTGATTATCAAAGGAAGTACGCTTGAAACAAATAAAGTGACGAAATCGTGAAGAGATAACGGAGAGAAAAGATATTTAATTGGAAGACGACTAAGTAGTTTCTAATAAACCAGTTAATAAAAATATGTACCCAAGAATATTTCTCTCAGTTAAGCAAGTTCCTCTCATTTTCATGAAGGGTTTAAAAATAGAACTATTACGGGATCCTTATTGACTTCTATTCTGAACCATGTCTAATAACGTCTCAAGCCATTGAATTGCATCATCTATCAGACCTCAAATGAAGAGTAATGGTTTCAGTCTTATACATATTTCTTCGAGACCGGGGACCATATCATAAAATGATCATCTTCCCAATCAGTCTGAGCGTCGATAAATAATGCACGATATGGAAGTCGACGACATGACATTTGTATCATATGTTAAAGCCACAAAAAAACTGTGCTTCAAGATAGAGACATTAACTAAGTTACTGTGGATATCTTAAAACAAACAAACAAAACCTCAGCATTACTAACACGGTATTACCCATGGACGTTAGCAATCCTCCAAAGGCAACAATGATCGAACATAGGTATCATTACCAAGATTTGATTTGATAATTTCGAATAAACTGAGCATTGGGTTGATTGTTACAAATAACTAATATATTTGTAACATCTCAATGAGTAGATAAACTAGATTTTCTGACGTTTCGTGACTTAACGTAAGCCACTTCTTCAGATAATAAATAACCAAATTAAAATTAATCCAAGTCATTGTTCCGTTGTACTATTTAAACTTGGATTAATTTTGGTTTGGTCATTTATTCTCCGAAGAAGTGACTTGCACTAAGTCACAAAACGTCCGAAAACTTAATCTGAAGGGAAACACAAAAGAGGAAGGTCAAAATGCACAATGTGTTGGGATGAATAGCAACTGGAAAGGATTGTCTAAGACAGAATTGGATGGAAAATGCTAATGAGCAGCCTATGCTCCTCCACGAGTTGTGACAGATATAAGTAAGTAACTAATAAAAAAAGGAATGAAAGATTCATTTGGTATTGTTTGACTTGTATCTTCCCATTGAGTTTTTTAAGACTGCAACTGATCAGTCTCTTATTGGTATATGTGCATACTGTGCGTATTCCTCGATATTGCCTTAATTCACAAGCTTTTTGGGAGCAATGATGAATAATGGCTAGCAGTGGAATCCAGGACACGCGTTTCGCCGTATTTGAGACTTGTCAGCTGGATGTACCTGCATCTCAGAGAGTTGATGTTCACTCTAGGATTCTAACCCAGTACCATCGCGCAAGCAACTGGCTATCAAGACTCAGTAGCTGAGTGGATAACGCGATGGTGTTTGAAGCGAGTGGTACTGGGTTCGAGTCCTGACGTGAACATCAACTCTAAGATGCCGTTGGATCCGACTGAAGAGTCCGAAATAGGACGAAATGCGCGTCAAACTGGATTCCACTGCTAGCTACTATCCATCATTACTTACAAAAGCGAATAAAAGATATTGAAAAAGATCCATTTCGTCCATAGACTTACTTCATCTAATGTTGATTCTAATTTTGCTTTTAATTTATTTAAATGATTCACTTTATCCTCTTCAGCTTGTAATGCTTCTTGTGTACGTTTATTTTGTTCTTCTAAATTCTTTTTATCTTTATTTAATTTTCCAATAGTTTCATCTTGTTGTGCCATTTCAGCTTGTAATGTACGTATTTGATTATCTTTTGTTTGTTTTTCTTGTTCAGCTTTTTGTAATGATGATTCTAAATCTTCTACATCTTTTTTTAATTCTTCAATTTCACTAGACATTTTCTTTTTAACTTCATTTAAATTTGCTGCTTGATCTTCTTCATCAGCTAAACGTTCTTCTAATTCTTTAATACGTTGTTCCATATCACCACGTTGTAATACAAGTTTAGAAATTTTCTCTTCAGCATCCGCTAAACTATCTTGTTCAGTTTGTAATTGTAAAAATAAATCATTTTTTTGTTGTAATACAGTGACATTTTGTTCTTCTAATTCTTTTTTTAATTTTTCTAATTTTTCAAATTCTTCTTTTAATTTAGCTAATTCTTCGGCGGCTTTTTTCATTTCTTCTTCTTGACGTGCTATATTTAACATTGGTTTCACTTTAGTATATAATCTCCACCATGGCCAATTACGTAATACTAAATATTTACGTATATTACGTTGCATTAATGTTAAGGCAACACTAGAATATTAAAATAATAGAAAATGAAAAGAAATGAAAAGATTTTGATAGATTGAATTGTAAGATTTCAAATGAAGTAAGGTCTATGGTAGATCCCCCAAATGCCTTGGTATGGCCGAGAGTGGGGAGAGTCCGCTCTCCCTCTCGAAATGCTTTTACACGGCCACGCGTATACAGCCTCTGCCAGGGAAGTCCTACTCACTGCCTTCTCGTGGCACCGATGTTGTTTACGAAAATGAGAGGACGAAAAGCGAATATCCGGCGCTTTAACATGATCCCAAACCAATGGTGCACATGGGCTCCAGTATCCTGAAGGAACAAATGGCGCATGAACCAATCATTGGTCACTGGCTACCATGGGACTGCATCTCCTTACGATGTTCTACTGCTGCCTTATGGATCAGACCTTCAGGTCGAAGGCTCCGGGTGTGGCCTCCTAAGAAAACCACCTGGTTCGGTCTGGGCACCCAGTCAGTATCACAGCTCTCACACATATCGAATGAGATTTGTGTGGCGCATATGTATTTGGTGCCTCCTTGTACCAATGTTTATGTGTTTAAATAAAAATAATAAATGGCAGATCCCAGCGGAGGAAGAAATCCGGAAGAAGCGCTGGAAGTGGATAGGATACACATTGAGGAAAGCATTCAACTGCGTCACGAGACAAGCCCTCACATGGAATCCTCAAGGCCAAAGGAAAAGAAGAGGAAGACCAAACAACACACTACGCCGGGAAATGGAGATAGACATTAGAAAAATGAACAAGAATTGGATGGAACTAGAAAAGAAGGTCCAGGACAGTGTGGGTTGAAGGATGTTGGTCGGCGGCCTATGCTCCATTATGAGTAACAAGGCGTAAGTAAACAAGGTCTATAGGTCAAATCATATTATTGAGTGTATCGGGACATGACAATAATAAAGTGTTTTTCCCTTTATACAACTAATACTTGTAGAGAGACCACCACCTAATCCCAGGAGAATAAGAAAATTAAAAATGGTCTAGTCTAAGATACAACATCCCATCTTTGGTCATGAATTTTCACTACAAGTGGTAAAGTTTTAAATTACAAAGGGAACACATAAAACTCAGTGTGTAACCATTTTCAAACAGTTGCGATCAAGTTTTCAAGTTATCAAGACCATTTATTTCTCAGGTTATTTTACAGGTAACCGATGAATAAGTACTTTCCTTATGTCATTTCCAACCGTCGAGAAGAAACAACCTTTATAACTGTCATTAAATTCAAGATGAATATATGGAAATGGTTGTCGGACATTTTATGCAGCCCAACTTGTCATTATCGAAAAGGCAAGGTCTATGTTTCACCAAAAGCCCAAACAGCACGAAAGCGATTGTGTCACATCCCATTGCGTCTATCGATTTACATGTATGTGTGGAAACACATACAGAGGGAGGAACAATCGTGATCTACAATTAACGGTGGGTGAACACATACCAAAATGGTTGCAAAAACAAATGGATCCCGATGGTCAAGTAAGATCACAGGATGGACAGACATCATCCTCCATTGCGAAACATTTGATTGAGACTGGTCATAAGGCTGACATCAAATCAGCATTTGTAGTGTGGTACAAAAGCCTTCAAGGATGTTTACTAAAGTTTACTGAAGCCTTGGCTATACGGAAATCAAAACCCCCTTTATGTCTTCCAAAACAATTTGTTTTTACACATGAATCGACTTATTTTGTTTTTATACCATTTCAGATACCATTTCATCTTGATTCTTATCTTTTCATATTATGTACTACTGATATTGATTTGACATAAACAACACTTACCGTTGATCTTGTAATTTTTTATATTGTTTTCTCATTAAATAACCACGAATTTCTGCTTGGAATAAACTAATTATACCATTTAATTTATCATCACGTAAATCTTCTAAATGAGCTAATGTACCAGCTTTGAAAAATACTTTAGTATTACCGCATTGATATAAATTTTTATCTAATTGTGTTGCTTCTAATAATTTCTCTGTAACTTGACGACCATCAACAAATCCATCAGGTATAACATTTGGTGCCAAAATTGAGTAACTTTATATGAGAAAGAAAATAGAATAGAATATGAGAAAGGAAATAACTTGATGAGTTTTATTATATATAATCTAATATGATTTAAGCTATTGTAGTAGTATACTAAAAAGATTTTCTGTCGACTACCTTCAAATATATGAGATATCAAGTCGTTCAGACTAACGCCCACATTGTAACTTGATTGACAGAGTTCATTTATCACTAAAAAGAACTAAATGTATATGAGATTAGTCACTATTTAGTGATCAATCCATTATCAGTCAGTCATTTACAAGGTAGGATCAGGCACATACATGCATCGATCCAAGTTGCCACACCTCATTAGCACAACAAGACGAACACTGGATTCATAAAAGTAGTATATACATCTCACTCCTATAGGCTAATCATGTCTAGTGGAAATGTCTCAGACTGTAAAGTTAGATAAAATGGGTTCGAGTCCTAAATATTATGTCATCTCTCTAATGACTATTGATACGTTTTGTGGAAGATAAGGTATTCTACCAATTATCTTCAACTAACTGTTATCTTAAATGAATCCTACAAATAATTTGTTATATTTCCATCATTAATTCACAAAGACTGGAAAGCTGATGAATAAAAACCAGCTATTTAGATCTCAAAAGTTACCAACCATTAAGAAACTTACAAAAGATCAAACTTCACATTTAAGAAGATAAACATGAAGCTCTGATATGAAAAAGCCGGAATCTAATAGTTTCACACTTTAAGTACTTTGCAACATCAGTGAGTAACTCCTACATTCCTCCTAATATATGATTGAATACATTTATGAACTTAAATTGTATCTAACTCGTTGTTTCTTTTTATTCAGAAAATTCGAAACTATTTTCAGTTTTGTTTATATGTAAACATAATGAGATTTTGCAGTATTCAGTAAGTCATTTATAACTATACATTATGGACAAACCAATTAGGTATAATATAACAGGTCTCACTCATCCATTTGGTTAAACAGAGTTTTGGCATTATAGCTGATGTCAGTTCATGATGAAAACCCGAAATCTAATTTTTAACCTTCATCATCAACTGTAAATCATAATTTCCATTTCTCAACCTGGTTTATAACACTCATTTGATCCTAGTTATTAGGTGAACACTCTCGAGGTCACTTTAGCGTCGCTCAAAGGTCGTTCATAAATTATAGTCTCACGGAATTTTTTTAATACAAAAATGATTATAGTGTGTGGCTAGTGAAAACAGGCTTGTAATTATATAGAATGGAATATTATCTACTCTAAATACTCTAGTTTTCTAAATTAATTTATGAATTGTGCGTCTTGATATAATGGGATCTCATTCTTTATACAGTGTACCGATCGAGTATCCAGCAGTCGTCAGCAGTGGCATTATAGCAGTAACAAGTGACAAACGGAAAATATTTTCATTTTACCAATCACACCACTTCATTGCATGATCTATTCTGAATATCTGTTCATCTTAAATAAATCATTTTAATTTATATTCAGTTGATGGAAATAGGTCCTGGGTTCGAATCCCGTGAGGCGGGGTCGTGGATGTGCACTGCTGAGGAGTCCCACAATACGATGAAACGGTCGTCCAGTGCTTCCAGGTTTTCCATGGTGGTATAGCTTCAATTGACTCATGATCTCAACTGTTGAAATTACTACAATCTCCACAAAACCCCTTCTGATACTAATCGACATATGCTCACTAGTGACTGGCTTTAAGAGGTACATCCTGGAGTTCTAGTGAGAACCAGTGACCGATGGAGTTCAATCGGGTTAGTTGTGAGGTAGTAATTCACTGATGACAATGGTGGATGTGCTGCTCAACTTCGTGGGTAAGTTGAAGTTAGACATTAACACCACTGGATGCCGGCAGGCTCAGTGGTGTAGTTGGTTAAGCGCCTGGCGCGTGAATGACAGGTCCTGATTTTGAATCCCGTGAGGCGGGTTTGTGGATGCGCACTGTTGAAGAGTCTCACAGCAGGCCGAAACTGCCGTCCAGTGCTTCCAGGTTTTCCATGGTGGTCTAGCTTCAACTGACTCATGATCTCAACTGTTGAAAGTTTCATGGAAATTTATTCCTCATGAATTAATCACAGTTAGGATATCGTTGGAAGTATGACAGTGCTGGATAGTTATTTTCTCTTAGTATGAAATGAGTCAGATCATTGAAGAATTCATCACCACAATAAAAGTTAAATATAGAACCTTCAAATGTCACAATGAATACCTATCCATTATTAGAACTATTAGGTCAATGTTCAATGATATACATATAAACTTGAATCAATTTATGATATAACAATGCAATTATTGAATTACCGTTGTTTGAATTCAGAATAAATCATACGATTTGGAAAACCTTTACGACAAATACGAATTCCTTCAAGTACACCATTACAATGTAACTGATGCAAAACCAAATGAGCATCAATTACACCTTAAATAATGTAATAAAATCAATGAAAATTATTGATTTTAGTTGATTAGATTATGTTTTACTAGATTTCAATATATAATGAATTATTAGTATAGGATTGTGGAAATTGTTGAATAGTAATTGAGATTATGAACTGATCAGTGCTAGACCAGCATTGAAAAACCTGGAAGCCATAGACGACTATTTCATTCTAGTATATTTGATTTTTGAGAAGTACTCATTAAGGATCTTGTATACGAGATTCAAACTCATCAAACTGCTGAGTCTTATACTAAAATGAAACGACCGTCCGGTACTTCCAGGTTTTCAATGGTTGTGTAACATTGATTGGTTCATGATTTCAATATGATGAATTATACGAAATAATTATATGACTAGATGTTATTCCAGACATAATAATTTGTGGTGTAATACAAAACCGTTGTGTAATAACTAAACTTATGGAATTACAATAGTCTACTTCGTAATTAGTTTGATTATTTCATAGGGACTTTTATAGACTCCGTAGATATAAAGTCAATGTACAGATAATCATTTAACCAAGTTTGTAGTAAACGAGAGCCTGAGTAGGGATGACCATTTGATTGTTTAAGGCAAAATCACACAGTGGCATAATAAAATATGAAAGTTGTACATTAAATACATTGTTTAAACAACTTCTTTGAGTTGTCCTTCACATATTCTATTATTCCTCTAATTATGCTCTTATTTTGATTGCCCTCTGACTTTTTTGCTGTACTCTCTATTTCAATCTTCTACTGCGAAGCATTTCACTTCCTATTAGTGCTACATACTACTTATATCTGTCAGCATACGTAGCATACACTACAAGACAATTGTAATAGGATTTTTAATGAGCATAACTAAAACTACCAAATTATCCAACTAATAAGTGTATTTCAGGCATTACGTATATATTGTGATATGTCACCTAGATCATATATAAGAATATACCATTGAGTGGTCGAACACATAAGACTGCATACTTGGTGTGGTATACACAATTGTTTAAATGACTAGAAATGGATTAATTTACAGACTTTGTCTCCAACGTTAAGAAAATTGAAGTATTCAGAGGGAAACATTGGACCGAGGATTCGTGGTGGGCGGCACTTGTTATCATAGTATAACCGAAATCTCGAGAAGACTGCTGCTCCATCAAGCTTTACACTTTGAGACATTGTGACTTGGTTGATAGAATCTGGTCACACTGGGTAAATATCATACTGGTCACTAATCAGTGATCAATCAGTGTAAATATCTCACTCCGATAAGTCAGTTGTGGCCAGATTGGCTTAGTAGTAACATTGTAGACTGTAGGACTAGATGACAACGGTTTGAATCTCACACTAGTAAATTACTAAAATCTCCACAAAACCCACCTCTGATAATAATAACCATCAGGTGCTCACTAGTTACTGGCTTCAAGAGGTATTTCCTGGAGCTCTAATAAGAATTCGTGATCAATGGAGTTCAATCAGGTCTGTTATGAGATAGTAACTCACTGCAGATAATAGTGGTTGAAGTAAGATATTAACACCGTTAGATGACGGTTCAGTGGTTTAGTGGTTAAGCGTTCGCGCGCAAGATCGGCAAGTCCTGCGTTCGAACACCACGAGGAGAAATCATGAAGGCGCACCGCTAAGAAGTCCCATACTAGGATGAAACAACTGACCAGTTCTTCTAGGTTTTCCATGGTGGTCTATTTTCAATTAACTCATGAATTCAACTATTAAAACGTTTTACAACATACATTTATAAATTGTTATTTCATAATGAAATACACTTTCAGAATTAAAAATAAAATATTAGATACCTAAATGATAACTCTATTTAAAACAGAAGCTATACAACTCACCTGGTTGTTTGAATTCATTCGGTACAATACAACGAATAAATGAAGGACTGGTACTTTGTAAATTTTTCATTAGTTTATTCAGCGATTCCTAAATTTACACATAATTATTACAACGTTAAAATGAAGCGAAATAAAGTATTGAACAAATAAACACAAGATAATTAATTTAAAGAGGGCAAAAAAAGAAAGAAAACCAAAAAAGAAAAGAATATACGCATTACTATAAGGAAATAACAAACTGCAAACCAAGTACCAATGATATCATGCTTATTTTATACTATTTCTGAGTACAATTAACTAATACAAACACATGCATTAAGGAAAGATGAAGAAATACATGCTGATGAAATTTTTTTTTGTTCAATCAATGTAGTGCTAGACGATTATTACTATTAATTATTTATATACTACTGAAATATGTTTGTAAGTAGTAAAAATATGTCTAACAAAATTAAATTGAAATAGTTAAAGAAATATAAAAATTGTAGCTAGTTAATAAAAATAATTAACAAGGATAGAAAAATATAATGACTAAGAAATCCAAGTTCAGTAGCTCAAGTGTAGTGTGATAGTCGCAAGATGATAGAAAGGTTCCAGGTTTGATTAGGTTATGAATCAACATAGCTTAAAATTTTCGTAATTAAAACAATATAGCTGTTCAGTGTAATGATGATTTTGGTATACGTACATCCTGAACGGATTGCCTTGATGCTACCTTAAGTCATAAGCATTATAAGCAATGATGGATGTTGACTAACTATGATAACATCAAAGTGATCCGTACAAGATGCCTATATGTCGAAAAGAGACTGATCAATTATAGTCTTAAACACAGAAAATAACCAATATAAATGAATTAGACTTCACTCTGTGACACAAGTCAGTGGTTATCGGTACTCAGTAGCTAGTTGGATAGATAATGTGACGGTATCTGAAGTGAATATTGCTGTGTTTGATTCCCAGAATAAATGACAAATGTGAGATGTAAGTACATTCATCTGACGAGTCCTAAGTAGTACGAAAAGTGCATTCTACATTTCATTTCTAGCAATTATCCATCTCAACTTAAATCGTTGTTATATTTTTACGATATTGAACAATTATCTTTAATTTTCATTGAAAGTTACCTGCCTAACATCCAATATGGTTGAACTACATTAGTCATAACTATAAAACAACATAAACATAAATACTATAGAGGATTTTCAAAGGTTTTGAATTTTCATAGCTTTCACAACGAATTGATTTTAACTAAAAAGTCGTTGAAAACCAGAAAGCACTAGATATCTTTTTCATTCTAGTGTGAAACTTATTAGCATTGTGTATCCGCAACTTCATCCGGAGTTCGAACTCATAATTCTCAGATCTTACGAAAAACGTTTGATCTTCAGCTCATGAAGAAGACATCCAGTGATTGACACGTTTAACTTGTATAACCGTTTCTTTTTCGATTTTATTTGAAGATAACTGCCTAATACTCAACATATTAGAATATACTTCACAATAATCTATCAGAAAATCCAATTCTAGTTTACTTCGTACTACTCATTTGAAAAAAAAACACAGTATTAAGATGAATCTATAGAGTAAATTGTAAATATATTCACAAATTCTACCGTACTCAAATTATCTACCGAGTGAAAATATTGATTTTTCGCCAAAAGATGCACTACCACTACAACTACTAGTACTACAGGTATTGTTACTACCACTACTACCATAACAAGCTAACATATATATATATACGCATACAAACACATACAAATACAAATATTGTATTGTGTATCCAATACATTATGAATGCAATGCATTTGTCATCTATTATTTCTCTACATATTTTCTATGAGGTAATACAATATAATTGATATGTGTTACGTGCGGGATTAAGATATATGGATTGCAAAATAATTAGCGATTAGAAGATTAGTCTACAACAAATTGTCGAAAGGTACAATCAAGTCAACTACAATTATAGGCTAAATATTTTCACTAAAGAATCTACAATATCAACAGCAACAACAACAACAACAACAAACAAACAAAAGAAAAAACATGAGTACTCTGTGAACAGCAGAAATTGTCTGCATAGCACCGCCTTTTTTACGTTTTCCACCTTCGTCTATTAGAAGATGTAGTATAGAATAAATTAAGCAAATTATATGCAAGACAAAATAAACAAACAATCAATAACACATGGGTTAAAGTAATAATGATAATAATCGTCATAATATTCAAAACGACGATCAAATTAAGTTTCACAGTTCCAGTTTGATAAAGTAATGTAGTTTATCTAAACAATTAGAAGAGGTTTTGTGGAGATTGCAATAATTTCAACAGTTGAGATCATGAGTCAATTGAAGCTGTACTACCATGGAAAACCTGGAAGCACTGGACGGCTGTTTCGTTCTATTGTGAGACTCCTCAGCAGTGCGCATCCACGACCCCGCTTCGCGGGATTCGAATACAAGACCTATCAAAATCGCACCAGGCGCTCAACCAACTAGACCACTGAACCGGTATTCAACCAATCCATTAAATTGAGCAACACACAATAGGACGGGACGGCTGTCCAGTGCTTCCAGGTTGTCCATGGCGGTCTAGCTTCGACTGACTCATGATCTCGACTGTTGAAATTATCTAAACAACATTAAATACATTTCATATTGATTTCCTACGTAATTTCGTTGAAATTACTTTTTATTTTTAATACTTGATACCGAACGAAAACAAGCAAATCGGGGTCGAAGATGTAAGTGAATGAAAACAATCGACCGGTTTTTTTCAAAATAAGAAAGGAAAAGAAGATTCAAGATATAACATTATGTAATCATAAATTGACCCTGTGTTATCATTAATTTAATTTATGATTCACCGTGTGTTTACAATTAGCATGCTTAAGCGTTTAAAGCCAAAATAAATTGTAAATAATAATAATGCAGTGAATTTATATCGTTTGAATAGACAGTGAGATTATAATTTATGGACGATCTTTGAGTGATTCTAAAGTCATCTAGAGAATATCTATTTACTTTCTAGGGTTAAATAAAGTTATAAACTAGTGTGAGGAATTAGAATAATGAATTACAATTCATGGTTAGGCTTAGGCATCAGATTTAAAGTTTTATCACATATTGACATTAACTAAACTGACTAGAACACACAATTGATTAATCACTAGGTGGTGATTAAGCAGATCAAATCCTATCGACACAATGTAGAGTTACCTAGATTAGTCCTAAAGGGAGTTAGTCGCCGCCCAGATATCCCAGTGGTAACGTCTCTGACTATGAAGCTGGATGACATGGAGTCGAATCCATCAGAGATCATCAGTTCTTTCAATATTACAAGTACACCTTATTGATGAGTGCCAAATAGCACAAAACCCGAATCTACAATTTCCTATTGATTACCACAAATCACCATCTTGATTAAAACACTATTTAATCAAATGGATAAATGAATCAAAGATTTATTACTCTAAATCTAATTGGATCGTCTATAAATTATAGTCTCATTGAATATACCATAGTCTTTGTATTCATTCTATTAAATCTTATTAAAGTTTTATTTACTACAAACAACATAACACATATATATGATATATATATATATATGGAAATAAAAATGAAGCAAATTGTATTATAGTTTCTTTTTTCTCTCTCGAAAATGCATACTATAGCAACATATGCACCTAGATTTTTAATGATATCACTAATCGATATTATATTGATTTGTGTTTTGTTTTTTTTTGTTTTTTAAAGCATCAGCAAGCAGATAATAAATTAGTCAACAAAATGTCATAGCAACATAACAGCAGTCCAATAAGATGAGATAGATCAGCATACGAATTAAATTATTAGCTTATATGTTTGGTTGTTGTTGTTATTGTTTTTGTTGTTGTTGTAATAATAATAATTACCCTGTGCATGTAGGTCACTGTCAAGAAAGAGCCACCTTTCGTCTTTTTACCAGGTTCACCTATATACACATACATACATACATATGTATTTTTTACAAATATTAAATAAGAACTTTCCTCATTTTAAAAAGATTAAATAAAATGAATTAAAATCAGTTGCTCAATGGATATTAACATTCTAAGTTTGAATCCTAATGTGAACATGATCATAGCCCATAACACAAATCATGTGATTTGTGTGATACATATGTAATTGGTGCCCCCTTTTGTATCAATATTTATAGATGCTCAAATAAATAAAATAGGTGAACATTAGCACGAAAATGTAAATAGTTCCAACTGATGAGGTTTAAATAGGACGAAATATATTGCCTAGATTTTACTGACAGTCCCATACTATTTTATTTTTGATTATTTTTTGATGAAAAAAACTGTATGTTAGTCATTTAATTAGTTGTTCATAATTTGATATTTAAATACAGCTTCAATAATATTCACGGTACCATAACTTAATCGCTAATGAACATAAATAATTACGTAATAGCTTTATTCTATTTTTAACTTTGTAATCGATTTCATACCTTAGTAAATGAAGAAAATTTCTATGAATATCAGTTATTCAAGTGCTGTATGAACCTTCATCTACCAAAGTGTGACTTCTCGTGGCGGGGGTGTTGTTTACGAAATTGGGAGGACGAAAAGTGAATGTCCGGCACTTTAACCGGATTTCAAACCAGTGGTGCATATGGGCTCCATTATCCTGAGGGAACAAATGGCGTATGAACCAGTCAATGGTCACCGGCTACCATGGGAATGCATCTCCTCACGATGCTCTACTGCCTTGTGGATCAGACCTTAAGGTCAAAGGCTCCGGGTATGGCCCTCTAAGAAAACCACCTGGTTCGGTCTGGGCACCCAGTCAGTATCACAGCTCTCACACATATCGAATGAGATTTGTACGGCGCATATGTATTTGGTGCCTCCTTGTACCAATATCTATGTGTTTAAATAAAAATAATAATAATAATAGGTAAAAGTGTTTAGGACATATGTTACTAATATCTAGCCATTATCAATTCTGACTAGACATGCTGGATAGTAAAGAAAGAATCAAGTTGGAAAATGTTATTAATGTCTAAATCAAGTGATGATATCTGTCCAAAATGCTAGTAACTATCAAATCATACTATTCCAATATCATCCCCCACCTGATCATATACATTCGAACTATACACGGTAATATTTAATTCTTATTTTTAATATCACTAAAACGTTTTAGGTGAGTAATTACGAAATGAGAAATTTATTCTTGTTACTTTGATGGTGCACAATCAATATATGAACTATGGTTAAAAACAAAAACAAACTTCATCCCTAACGAAATAAGACTCATTAGAAAACGCCTTAGTAACTATAGAGTACTTTTCAAATTCAAATTTTTCCATTGAATCTTCCCAGTTCGATATGTCAAACAATTATCGATTTTTTTTTCGGAAAATAGTGTTCATTATAATTGAGAACCATAATGTAATATTGAACATTTTAAAAATTCAAATCAATCAATCTCTTGGTACTATTGGAAGAAGATATCTATCTGAATATCATGGATCATATTTAGTAGTTAAGGCCTGATTTCCGATAAAAGGTTTTCTTCAATAATTAGCCATTTATATCTCTTTTTAAAATACTACTTACAAGATACTAATTTCAGTAGCTATTACTATCAACTACTGTTATTCTAATAAGATATTTGTTAACAAGTTTCAAAATATAAATAAACAAATCGAGAATGTAATAGCAGTTACATGACTAGATTACAGATAACTTCATCTTATAATAAAAACTAAAGAAAATAGTAATGATTCAATTGTAATTGGTACAAGAGTTTGAACTGCATAATGGTGCACATGGGCTCCAGTATCCTGAAGGAACAAATGTTGTATGAACCAATGGTTGGTCACCGGCTACCATGGGACTGCATCTCATTATGATGCCCTACTGCCTTGTGGATCAGATCTTTAGGTCAAAGGCTCCGGGTGTTGCCCCCTAAGAAAACCACCTACTGCATTTTGGGCACCCAGGCAGTATCACAGCCTTCACATAAATCAAATGAGTTTTGTGTGGCGCATATGTATCTGATGCCCTCTTGTGCCAATATCTATGTGTTGAAATAAACAAATAAGAATAAATAATCGTGGAAAATTAGAAATTATGAAACTCCAGAGATCTTGATTTCAATCTTTAGTGGTATCATTAATGAGTTTCAACATTGAAATAGTTAATTTGTGTCGCCAGGTTATTTTTTTTTAAATAATTGTCTAAATTACATCAGTTTTTGTTATGTAAACTATTAGGCTTTTGCTATTAAACTCTTTAATCGTTTTAATGTCATTTAATTTATAATAGTAAATAGATACTTACCGACAACTGGAGTAAATAGATTGGATACTAAAGGATCTTTACTACCACCTAATAATGCAACTACACTGTCATTAAGTGGATCTTTATTCTTTTCCAACCACCCAGTTATTGTGTACGGAACCTAGAAAAATGATAGATTATAAGAAAAACAAGAGTGAATACATTGCTTTTTGAAAATGAGTAGTTACATAAAGGTAGTATATAAAAAGCAGGGTTTATAAAAGTCTTCTTATCTTCTACAAAATCACTGCAAAGTAAAACTGTAAACAAACGGCTGTTTTACGCTGACATGAGCCTCGTTGACAGTGCTCATTCACAAGCCACGCATATGATAATCGAATACAGGAACTTCGGTTTAACGCCTGAACTTTTCATGAAACCCAACAATCTCCACAGCCATATACTGAGAACTGTATTGTTCACATGAAATAATGTTGCAAATTTCATTGGATACAATTAATTTAATGCATATAGAAATACAGTTTTTATTTTAATAAGACAAAACCACATGGATATATATATACTTACAGATCCAGCATAATGGTGCAATTCGAAGTGAGCTTCTACATGTCCTGGCTTCGGTGGCTTCGGTTTGGTGAAATTAGGGCTTTTACCTAAATGATTATCATATAATTTCGACAAGAATGTTTGGTCCGAAGCTTTGGGAACGATACATTCTTCTTCTAGAATGGACAAGATACCCATAGGCTAGAAAAAATGAAGAGAAAAAAACAAGTAATGTTTGCAAACATTAGTAAACTGAAATATAATGTATTTCCATTAATTTTTTTATGTTAATAATTTGCCCATATGTTAACTAGTGATTAATTTTAAGAGCTAATTAAGTGGGTTCTGATAAAACGTTACAAACAGTGGAGTTCAACCACATCAGATTTGAGGTAATTAGTTATCAATAGCATTAAAAGACAGTTGCGCAACAACTTGAGTTGGTTGAAGCTAGACTTTTAAACGATTGGATCTTAGGTCAGTAGCCTAGGAAATAAACGCTATAAGCAAGAATCAGGAGACATTAATTCAACAGAATAGCTGTTCAGCCAACACTAGTTTCCAATGTTTATCAAAATATGATCAGTCTGTGATGAATGGATAAAGTAAAAATTGTCAAATTTGTCAATTCATCCTTTTTCTTAAAGTTAAAAAACTGACTCGTAAAACGGATAGTCTACACAGATTCAGTAGCTATTTATTATACCAAAATTCATAGAAGTGATATGACTACTGACTAACGATTTATCCTAATACTTGGAGCAAATCGTTTCTGAAATGTATCCAGAAATATAATCAACAAGGTATTAGAACAACAATGTAAACACAGAGGAAAAATCTAAGCTATTATTTGTCCATCCATTTGTAAGCTGTTCAAAGGCTATCAAATAGCAAGTCCTGGACATTCATTTTGTGCCAATTGAAACTCATCAATTATTGTTGAAGAAAGTATGCTTCCTTTCAGATTGAGATCTTCAGCATTCTATTTGGACTGGTTAAAAATCTACAGTGCTTGATCACTTATTCTAGAGGCTACACTAAGAATTATACAGACAGAATTTAATCAGTCTCAGATAGTTGGTGAACATGTTTGTTTCGAATTAGTTGATCATTTCACAGCTACTTCTTTTTAATGTTTAGCGATAAACTACTTAATAACAATAAGTAGTCTGGTTGTACTAGAGTGTTTCTAACTTTTGTATACTGTTGCGCATTAATACCTCTTGATGAATTACGCGAACACGATATAAACTTTATCCTCCTATTCTCTCGTTTGGCTTCATTCGTAATGTTGTGAAAGCTGTTTTCCCTTCTTTCCACGTTCAGTTTTACCTGTATAAACTAAACTTTTAAGCCTTGCTTACATGGAACAGTTTGTCTATTGCCATTAATTGACAACGTTTCAGTTCAACATAGACAAGTACTGGTTTCTGGCGTTTAAAAAAATGATAGCATTGTACTCTTTCCAATTGTTCGAAGAATACATTTCTCTCATCTACGCTTTAAAAGTTGTAGTTTATGCCCTGAAATCTCATGAGTTGTATTTTACCTGAAGTATTAGTATTTATTTTGGTTTCTATGACGGTACTGCACTTTGAACAAACCCTTCTAGTTTTATTTTACGATTTCTGCGTGTGTATAACTTCCAGCATCAGAATACTCATAGTTTGAAAAAATTGATAATTTACCTTTTCAATTAAATCTATACAAGCTTGCAAATCCATACCGAAATCAATAAATGTCCATTGAATCTTTTCACGTTTATATTCTTCTTGTTCTAAGACAAACATATGATGGTTGAAGAATTGTTGTAGACGTTCATTCGTGTAATTAATACAGATTTGTTCAAAACCATTTTCCTTGGATAATGAAAAAAGGTTAATACGAAGATGAAAAGAATTTATCAAGTCATGAAGTCACAAAAATGAATTAACAATTAATATAATATCAATCATAATTAGTAGTTAGAGGTAGTTAGTATGGATATCTTGGATCTGCATTTCGTACTAGTTGGGACTCTTCAACAAGACATATTGGCAATGTTGAAGAGCTATTGCCTTCTGTGGGTTTCAAACCGTAGTCACTTAGTTTCATAATCCCAAACTTCATGACTGTTCTATTCCAGATAAAGCTCACAACTGAGTGATCACTGAATAGTGACCAATATCATGTTTACCTATTCCTTTAGCACTACAACTAAATGACTAGATAAATGTGACATTGGTTTGTACTCAGAGTAGATTCAGTGTTAAATCTGAAAAAATATCAATCAAGTAAGAGATAAATAATCAGGAGTTTGGGTAATATATATGATTAGAACAAAGTTCTTGGATTCATAAAGTTGGTTATCGTCTGGAATACAAAAGATTAAAAATGTTATAAGTCCACACCAAATAAGAAATATGGATTTGAAGGAAGCTTGTTATTACGATCACAAACACTTCATAGATTCCATTAGTAAGTGTGTCACTGTAATTTGTGTAACCAATAATTGTTCGACGTTTTGAAGGTTTTGTATTCTAGATAATTGGACACAAACGAACCCGCTAAGGTCAGTGAATAAAAAATCCCCATCAACATCCCAAGGCTATAAATATTCTCCTTCATCTCAGTTGTTGAACTGTTTGGAAAATGACAAAGCTCGAGTTAATTCTATAATAATCATCAACAAATAAACATTGTCATCGTTATTAATTCCGAAAATTCAATGAACCTGTAAATCAACTGAGTCACCTTCCTTACTGTTATGTCCCAATAAGCATAATGAATGGTAACTTTGGGGATCCATTTATGGACCATTGCTATGAGTATATTTTTATCGTGTAATTGTTATGTAACTAAACTATTCATATTCATTTCCCTCTAATTACGAGTTTTATTTTGACCTATGAACTCTTATTATACGATTTACTATTCTTGAGGTATGCCCTGTCTATCAATTAATATCTCACACATTCACAGTCACATTTGGCTAATTCTTGTACAAATGTTAGATTTTATTTTATGGTACGATGTGCTCTGTCTAGTTGGTATATAAACCCAGTATGTTTGAAATAAATGATTGACATTACAGAGGCTGAGATTGGTGTTCTGGAGTAAACTGGCTAGGCTAGGCAGGAAGCAGGATCGATAAGAACTCTAGACTGCTCGTATGGGTTTTATGTCTCATTGGACTGGTCGATAAATTACCGTTCTCTAAATACCGGTATCATCACGTTATACAGTAGCAGGGCACACAGACTACAAGTTATATTACTTAAAAACAGTAATAATAATAATAATAATAATAAAACTTACAGTAAAAATCTCAAAACCTGCAATATCCAGTACACCAATGAAAAATTGACGTTTAACTTTTGTATCCAAAGTTTTATTGACACGAGCTACTAACCAACCAAACATACGATTATACAGAGATTTAGCTAAAGCGCTGACTGCATATGTAACCTTTTGTTGAAATAAATTGAAAAGTTATTATCATTATTATTATTATTATTATTATTATTATTAAAAGAGAATATGATAATGTTATAATTATTATGGATAAAACTGTAAAAGAGTAGTCCAATGAGGAGTCTCATAGTTGGATGAAATAGTTCCCCAAACCCATTATTCTAATAAAAATTGATTTTAGCAACTATATAGTCGATTGTAAACTAAGGTTTATCCAATTAATTAGGTGTAACCATTTATAAACATTTTATGCATCGAAACTAACTAGTCACTAAGTAATGCCCGATGTCATGTTTGTTTAGTTCTTAGTGGCAATATAATTTGATTGATCAAGTTGTAGTTCGATCTCAAGTCTGAGAAACTAGACATTGTATTTACTATGTTTTAACGTTAAGTAGTTACAGGGTTTCGTGTCAACAATCTCTAATCAACTAATATTATATAACTGGTTTTACTTTTTAACCTCCACTTGTAGAGTCCTAATTTACAGCAAATCTTTACCTCAGTGGTTCATGCACTCTTAACGTCAAAGTGAGTAAATTTCCTTAAACCATTTAATTAAACATTACTGGTGTCCCCACTAGTAGCTAGGTTCTAAATGAAGAAGTGGTAAACTATAAAGTCAATGAAATCTCAAGTACGATAATGATTCATTAGCGATATGGGCTGCTATTCATGTTTTAAAGCAAAATCCATGAAATAATTTCAAGAGTGTCACCTATCATCAAATAGACATGAAGAAGCGAATGACGTTATCCGCAACGTTTTCAATGTTTGCTTAACGTTTGGTAAGCAGTAATTTCGGTTATTTTACTGCTCATTTAGGGTGTTTAACTGTATATTAGTATAGTTTTTATTAATAGTTTCATTTTAAGCCCCAAAGCTTACATACAGAATGCTATACACGTTCAAGAAGAACTTTGCGAATAACTTCACCCTCTTTGAATCAAACCGGTGTTAAAATCTCACTCTAATGTGTACCATTCATCCAATAAATAAACGGGAGAATGAATGAAAGCATTAGGAACACCACAATTATTGAACATTGAAAATGTTTTAGAGGACCGCAGCCATACAAACATTAAATAATTTTAGGAGTTTACTGAAGGAATAAACTGTCAACTAACTGGATAATTCCACACAATATGAGATACTTATTATCAATACAAATCAGAGTACAATTTAGGCACTATTTAGAGGTTGAAAATTAATATCGATATATGATGAAAGACACATTAAGCGCCACAGCTAAGTAATTAACTTCGCCTAGAGCCCCTGTGGTGCTACAGCCGGTCCCAAGCAAGGATAAAGGAGAAGGATTGTGCATGGTGTTAGCGACCAAATCCCGTAGAAAACCAACTCGCTAAAAAGTGCTAACCAGAAAAAATAATTCAAACCGTCAATTAATTGGAATTATGGATTTCTTTTCACGAAGAAAATGTGGATGTAAATATTCATTTGTGAACATCAACTCTGGGATGCAGGTACATCCAGATGATGAGTCTCATATAAAATGAAACGTGAGTCCTCGATTTCACAACTAGCTACCATCCATTTTTGCTGATAATGCTTGTGAATTAAAGCTATATTAAAGCGATCCGTACAGGATGCCCATATGCCAATAAAAGACTGATCCGTTCAAGCAAATGAATTGTTAATTAGTTATTATAATTTCATTATGGATTACTGTTCATCAATAAAAATTTACTAACTTGATTTAAATTTTGACCTTTGGTTACAAATTCTGTACCAACTTTAACTTTTGGTTTTAAAAATGAAGTTAATAGATCTTTTGCATTAACACCTAAAAGAAATGCAACTTTTTCTGCTTCAGCAGTTCCATCAGCTTCAGCTTGTTCTTCTCTTGGTCTTTGCTTAAATTTCATTTCACCCATATTACAAATTGATGTAGTACATTTGAATAATGACAATTTTTCATCATCATTAAATCCAAGAACGTCAAAAGCTTCCTAAGAACAAAAAAAAGACAATGGTAAGTAGTAATTGAAAGATGTGATAAAACAAAAGTTATTTCCTGGAGTTCAAGTGAGAAGTGGTGATCAGTGGAATTCAACCCGGTCAGTTGTCAGACAGCAACTCACTGATGACAATGGTGAATGTGTCGTTCAATTTCATGGATTGGTTAAAGTTAGACGATTACACCGTTATATGCCGGCTCAGTGGTCTAGTGATTGAGCGCTCGAGCGTGAAACTGATAAGTCCTAGGTTCGAATCTCGAGAGGCGGGATCGTGGATTCGCACTGCTGAGGAGTCCCATACTAGAACGAAATGGCTGTCCAGTGTTTCCAGGTTTACAATGGTGTTCTAGCTTACATCGATTCATGAATTCAACAATTAAATTACTATGATATCCACAAAACCCCTCTCTGATTAAAAAAGGAATCTATGTATCTTTCAAATAATAAATATAAATTTTAGTCAGAATGATACGCTGGACGAGTTTGGACACACCATGTGTTTATACTACTCTATTAAATTAATTCGGTTTCCCAATTACAACTTTCTAGTCATTTTTTAATCTCCTCATTTGTATAACAGGTTGAGCAAGCTCATAGGAAACATATGTATATAAAGCTGAGTTAGACAACCATGGAACGTAATTAACGATGGGCTATCAACTCATTTATGCCAATATTTACAGAATATTCTTTATCCATCTTACAGAAGCCTAATTGAAGTTGACTGAAATGACAACGTAAAAACCTTCTATGTAATCCATTTCACTATCCTAATTTAATTTCATGAAATCACCAATCGAACTGTTAACTAACTGTATAGTTGACTTCTACATTGATCATCAGTCAGGCTGTATATTTGTCTATTGATTTAGGAGGTATGAATATATCTCCCCAAGTGAATTTTTTTTACAACATTATAAAGCTTAGTAGGGTGTGGATACTCCTCTGGAAACTGAACACATTAGAATACATGAAATATTCGCAATCTATTCTTTCCTAATAGTCCCAAAGGTTGTTTTTTCTCTTTGAATATTAATCTAAAAAACGTTTTGTTAAATTATACTTGAATATCGAACATGATCATCTTAGAATGACTTGGAGGCTTTATACCATTGATTAGCTAATGAACAGATTGGAACTCATAATCTGTCATAGAACGAGACTTTTTTTTGTTCTTTCAAGGTATTTGTTTCTAGAGATTACTCACTTCATGATAGATAATTGTACGTATTTCTTAGATTTCATATCAAAACTTACAGATTGCTATTACAAACCTGAGTAATTAGGTAGGATAGCATAGTTTGAATGTACCATTTACCTCTGATACATAAAATTTGTGTTAACGAAACAAGAAGAAGCACAGCATAGTTATTTATACGAAATTTAGAAACGAATTATAGAACAATCTATTGTTACACCATGGTTTTCAGCTCAAATCAATCTATGTCATTGAAATCTTTAGTTTATTAAACAATCATCTTGATATAAACTCCACCTGCAGACCATCTAGGATTATTCCTGATCCCAAGCCCAGATAAAGAAGGAGGGTTAGGATTGAGGTTAACAGCCCCATTCAGTAGAAAATAGTTCTGTTAAGAAAGGGCTAACCATAAAATATCATTTTAACCATTTAAACTCTGACCTAAGAGTAAGTAATTAACTTGATAGACAAACAATTACTATTCAGTTAAACTTACATCGCACAATTTCATTTCTTCACTATCATCTACACCATCAATAGTTAACTCTCCTTGATTAATGAAACTGTATAAAGCAGGATCAGTTTGAACTAATAATTTGTCTAAAAAGCAAATACAAAAATGATCATAATTAACCATTAGATATCAACTCAGTGGTCTAAAAGTTAAACCTTATCTGTAATACCTTAAGTTCTTAAACTCTATCCTATGTGATGGAATCATGGATGGACATCTATGAAAGCTTCCATACGAGAACAAAACACCTGTCCAATGATTCCTAGTTTCCGATGATTATCTAACCAAGTTCACGTTACAAATCATTCAATAAATTAACTATTATTCCTTAAAATGTTCAATAATAAAAATAATAAACCTCACAGACATATTTCAAAGGAGAAAGAAGAACTTACCGTGATATTTTGAACCATAAGTTGATAATAATTGATAGAAAATATGATAATTACGTTCTCCTTTCATTTGTGAAACTACACGAGATTTCTCAAGCAAATCTTTTAGAAAAAAAGAAAAAGAACTGATTAGTTATACAATTATTTTTTAATATCACAAGGGGTTTTTGTGGATATTATAATAATTTCAATAGTTGAAATCATGAGTCAATTGAAGCTAGACCAACATAGAAAACCTGGAAGAACTGGATTCTCGTTTCATCCTATTTTGATGCTTCTTCTGATATTAATTAACATATGCTTCCTAGTGACTGGCTTCAAGATGTATATCCTGGAGTTCTAGTGAGAAGTAGTGACCAGTGGAATTCAACCGGGTCAGTTGTCAGATAGTAACTCACTGATGACAATGGCGCATGTGTTGCCCAATTTTGTGGATTAGTTGAATTTAAACATTAACACCGTTAGATACCGGTTGAATGGTCTGGTGGTTAAGCGCTCGTGCGTGAGACTGATAGGTTCTGGGTTCGAATCTCGCGGGGCGGGTTCGTGGGAGTGCACTGCTATGGAGTCTCACAATAGAACGAAATGGCTGTCCAGTGCTTCCAAGTTCTTCATAGTGGTCTAGCTTTCATTGACTCATGATATCACTTATTGAAATCATATTTTTTGTTTTTGTTGTTAAATTCACAACTTACAATGTTCAATATCAGCTCCAGCGATTTTACCAGTTGTACCAAAGTGAATACGAATGAATTTTCCCTAATTTGAAAAGAAAAAAATATAATATTTATCCTTATCTAGAAAATGTATTATAACTTACAAATCTAGATGAATTATTATTTCTTGTAGTCTTTGCATTACCATATGCTTCTAGAACTGGATTAGCTTGAACAATTTGATCTTCAAGTGTTCCCTAATTAAAGAAGAAAGTAAAGAAGATTTCAATAAAGAACAAAATATCGTTAAATGATAAATAGATATTCACAGTGAAATAAGCTATGCATCACCTTACTTGACTTTCAAATGATTTCTTGAATTAATGTAAGGAGTTATTGATGACTTAAATTTCATCAAGAACTGATCTTAGTTAGGTAACGATTTAAAACTAGAAATTACTGGATAGCTATTTTGTCTTAGTTGAGGAACTTCTTACCATTGTTCATCCACGACTTTATTATAACGGGCCGAACCCAAGATATTCAAATCTCATAGCTAACACTTAACCATTAAGCCATTAAGTTATTAACTAGTGCTTTACATTTTCAACTTCAAGGAAGAAATATCTATTCAGTACTTCCAAGTACTTAGAAGAGACAGTTACTAACTTATCATTTCCTTGGTAAATTCATAATTTTGATCAAAATTGTTATTTATTATTATTATTATTACTATTACTATTACCATTATTATTGTGAACATCTATTATGCTATTTTCGCTCAGCTAATCGTTACTTTATTGAGTTTAAAATTCTTTTTGTTCATCTAATTAAATATTATGAATAAACGAATTATTTAATGTATGGATTCAATTCAGTAGTCAAGAGGTTAAGCGTTCGTGTGCGAGACCGAAGGTCCTGGGTTCGAGTTCCGCGTGTGGAATCGCGAATGAGCATTGCTAAGGAGTCTCATACCAAAACGAAACGGCTGTCTAGTGCTTTCAGGTTATCTATGATGGCCTAACTTTAATTGACTCATGAATTCAACTATTAAATTACTACAATATACACAAAAACCCCTTTCTGATGATTAATAAATAACTAGTGACAATGTAAGCTGACCTTACAATAAATAAAAAAATTTTATATAACGCTTATAATACGCCTATCTGGTTAGTAAATTTGTTTGGAAAAATCCTAATCTCACTAATCAGATTCATTAACTTCAAGGTAGATTGTAACTATATAAACATATAAACTTGATTTGAATATTCGATTATATTGTCAACATTTCTAGTTGTTCTTGATTCAAGCTTCTTGGAGTGATCTAAATCTAAAACGGCAATTGAGCGACGCTAAAATGGCTTTGAGAATGTCCACCTACTGATAAGGGCTAAATGAGAGTTTTAAACCTGTGTAAACGATAAGGATTTTGATTTACATTTGATGGTTAGGGAAAGGGATTAGATTTTATGGTTTCATCACAAATTGGCATCAACTAAAATGCCAAAACTCTATTTAGCCAAAATAGATGAGTGGATTTCTCGCCGAAATCCAAGATCTGTTATCATAAATCTGATTGGTTTGTCCATAAATTATAGTCTCGCCCATAATACTTTAAGGATCACAAAGATGTTTAATGTTTCCACTTCACAGCTCAATATATACTGATGAGATTGTTCAGAATGATAATGACCAATCTGTCATAAATTAACTCATCTATCTCAGAGAGTATAGCAATAATAGAAATATAATTCTATATATTTAAGAAATACTAAGTATTTTCATATAATAAGATGATGAAATAATGTTTGTTTATTGTTTTTCATCATCAAATACAAACCTTTTTACTAGCATCATCATCCTCTTTCTTTGAAGCTGCTGCAACAACAGCAAAATATGAAATAACTTTCTTTGTATTTTCTGTTTTTCCGGCACCACTTTCACCTCTGTTTTAATAAGAAAAAGATAAATATATCTTGGGGTATGGAAAGTATGAAATTGATTTAAAGCATTTGATGATAACTATTTTGTAGTGTAATAGGCAATTTTCCCAAATTTATATGTTAGATGTATATATGTGTATACGTGTAAATACGTAAAAATAATCAGATTTCTGTTCACTTGTTGTTATTGTTGTTTTACTTGTATCTTCCCATTGTTAATTATGACTGTGATTGATCATGTTGGCATGTTGGCATATGTGCATCCAGTGCGGATTGCCTCGATAGAGCCTTAAGTCATAGGCTTTTTAAGCAAAGATGGATAGTGGCTAGCAGTGTACCTGCAGGTATATCCAGCTGACGAGTCCCAAATAGGGCGAAACGCGCGTCCTGGACTCCACTGCTAGCCACTACTCATCATTACTAATAACCAGATTACTGTTGGCCAAAATGAATTTGCTCTATTATTCTGAAAAAATTATGAAATTATAACTTGAAATAGTTTAGATTCTTAATTTAGAGACTGACTTGATCATTTTCTTTGAGTTGGATATCAACCATTATTGTTCGCGCTGCAGTACACTTGCACAACTATATATTCTATATTGATTAGATTGACTTTTAATAATCATTCCAAGTTTGAAGTCACCAAGTTATAGAGGATCGTGCTATGCAATATACTGATTTGAGTAGAAAGTGGTTCAAGCGTCAATGTTTGAAAGTCCTACGTTCTATCATATGTTGGGTTGTGGGTTCACATCACCTAAGTTTTGTCTTTTGGAAATGCGAAATCCTCAAATGCAATTATCATTATCTTCGAGAACATATAGTTTATCAATACTTCATCTATATATATCTTCGCTTAACTAACAATATTTATAAATAGCTTTGTTCACAAATTTGACTAAGCTTTATTTACTGTCATTCAGGTCATAACTAACCACCTCTACGATTAAGATACTTATAAATGATCTACTACTGATTAGTAATTAGTGTCATATCTGTCTAGTCTCCTTTAAACATGAACATTCTATCGATAGATATTTCTAACGGCAGAATTGGGTGTAAGCCTCCTGTTTCTTACAGAATTAAATGTACACATTATCATTGATTATCACTCGATGAAAAATCATACATTCTACTATAATTCCTTTTAACTATCTAACATTATAGTTCCACAACTAATCCAGTAAAGTTATCAAGAAATAGAACAAAATTTCATTTTAAATACATATATCAGGATGGGTTTTATGGAGATTGTAATAATTTCAACAGTTGAGACCATGAGTCAATTGAAGCTTGTTAGTTAAGCGCCTGTCGCGAGACCGATAGGTCCTGGATTCGAATCCCACGAGGCGTGGTCGTGGATGCGCACTACTGAGAAGTTCCACAATAGGACCTTACAGCCATCCAGTGCTTCTAGGTTTTCCATGGTGATCTAGCTTCAATTGACTCATGATCTCAACTGTTGATATACATATATATGTTATAACAAATAAATTTTGTGTAAGGTTCAAATATATTAAAAACAAGAAACTTACGTAATCAGAATGGATTGATTTTCACGATCTGTTGAAAATGAATTAAAATAAATCAAGAAGAAATACAATGATTGTTTTTCGTTCAAAAGAAAACAAAAAAAATTGAATAAGCAATGATGGATAGTGGCTAGCAGTGGAATCCAGTTTGAAGCGCGTTTTGTCCCATTTTGGGACTCGTCAGCTGAATGTACCTGCATCTCAAAGTTGATATTCACTTTGAGACTTGAATAAGTTGTCGAAATGAGGTAAATCATATGAAAACACTTTTATTTAAATAAGATTAACATTTATAATGATGAATAAACTACAGAAAGAATAAATGAATAGTAACTAACCTTGTAACATATTATGATAAGCATTATCAGATATTGAAAAAATATGTGGTGGCATTTCACCACGTCTTTTTCCTTTATATTTTAATGCAACTTGTTCCGTATAAATTGGAAAACGTTTATAAGGATTAACTGCTACACAAAATAATCCTGAATAAGTCTAAAACAAAAAATGAAATAGTTAAAGTTAAGTAAATAGTTTTTGACTAGTAAGATGTAAGAAAAAAGAAAGATGACAATAACTTTATTGTAATGATTTTTAATCACTTGAAATTGTTATATCCTGATGAGAATAATGAATGGTAACTGTCGAAAACTATTTCTGAACTAATACTATACGTACATATTTTTATGGTATAATGTGGTGTGTGCTACGTATATTGACATAAGTAGTATATGATGTTAGTCGTGAACAAAAGGTCTGGTAGCAGAGAGACAAGAGGATCGAACGGTAAAGAGTGGAACAGGATGCAATTTGTATGAAAATAAAAGAACAATGAAGCCTAAGACAATGGGTGGACATTTTGCAAATTAAGCATTTACTTTATGATTATTAGATTTTATTAACAAGTGCTGTAATTTAGTGTTAAATACATTCGATTGTTCCCCCACTAGTGTTCGTGTTCACTACAATAATAGTTAAGTAATTAAACTGATCATATTTGTGTCCCTCTTATCATGAGCTTTATTTTGACCTACGAACTATTATCATACGTTTTACCATTCTTGTCTATCAATCACTATCTCCCATATTCACAGCCACATTTGGCTAATTCTTGTACAAATGTTAGATTTTATTTTATGGTACGATGTGGTCTGTCTAGTTGGTATATAAACCCAGTATGTTTGAAATAAATGATTGATATTGCAGAGGCTGAGATTAATGTTCTGGACTTAACTGGCTGGGCTAGGCAGGAAGCAGGATCGATAAGAACTCTAGACTTCTCGTATGGGTTTTATGTCTCATTGGAATGGTCGATAAATTACCGTTCTCTAAATACCGGTATCATCACGTTATACATTAATAGGACACAGATTATAACAAGAAGCAATATAAATAGCAGATTTATTTACCTATTTATTTGAACACATAAATAATGGTACAAAGGGACACCGAATACATATGCAACATACAAGTCACTTGATTTGTGTAAACAATACCCCTGACACAAGGGGGCAGTGAGTAGGACTTCCCTGGCAGTGGCTGTATACGTGCCGCCACGTGAGAGCATTTTTATAGGAAGAGTGGACTCTCCCCACTCTCGGCAGTACCAGGGCATTTGGGATACAGATTACTAAATTACATATATTTGAAAGCATATTATTTGTGAAGATGTAGTTGAAATCTGTTATGTCCCATCAAGAATAATGAATGGTAACTTTTGGGATCCATTTATGGACCAATATTAAACGTATATTTCTATTGTATAATTATTAATTAACTAAAGTATGCATATCCATATTCCTCTTATTACAAGCTTTATTTTGACCCATAAACTATTATTATACGTTTTACCATTCTTGAGTTATACTCAGTATATTAATTTCTACCTCCCTCATTCACAGCCAAATCTGGCTAATTCTTGTACAAATGTTGTTTCCTATTTTATGGTACGATGTGGCCTGTTTGATTGGTATGTAAAATCAGTGTGTTTGAAATATAAGGATTCATATCGCAGAAGCTCGGATGGATGTTCTGGACTTAACTGGCTAGGCTAGGCGAAAAGCAGGACCAATCAAGACTCTAGGCTGCTTATACGGATTTACGCGCCATTGATCCGATTGATAAGTCACTACCCTCTGATCGGCGGTAACAAGTTATTATAAAATCAAATGAAAACATTTTTTTCGCGACAATCACCTTACAAAGAAATATATACTCCGTAAAATCTAGTCGTTTATAGGAATTTACTTCCCTGGTAACAACGACGAAACTATTCATGAATATCAAATATATATACATATATGACTTCTTTCGATAATAATGGAAACAACACTATGTATATACCAGTATTTTATAACCTAACAAATTACTAAAGCTTATATGTTACACTCATTGTTAAGCTTGAAATTAGTTTACATTTATAAAAATTATTCACCAATAACAATCAAATGAAACTTACATAGATCAATTGTCTGTAATAACGTGCACGTAAATTCTCCAAAACAGAAGCATCATTTAAATGTGTCAAATTAGCCATATCTTCAATTAAAAAGAATTTCGGTGGATTAACTTGTTGTGCATCATCTTTTTTAACTTTCTTTTCCTGTTCAAATAAAAGATGAATAACGTCACTGAAATAATTTAATAACCATAGTAACAGCAAGAAGACAGTCTGCTTTAATATCTGGGTTACCTGTTCTTATCATCTGGATATTTCAATAGGTTAGTTGTTTTCTTGTTTGTTTTAATAGATCATTATGCCTATCAGTCTCATAATCTATTAAGGTGTGTTTATGAAAAGTTTACAACCTTCCACTGTACAAGTTGTGAAAAAAAAGCGAAAACAGAGATATCGTGGTTGCTGACAATATGCATCGAAAAAAAATATACATTGTTCAGATTTCGATTCCTTAACTGGTAACATCGAACTGGCAACCACTCAATATTTATCGTCAAAATCGATCAAGAAGTAAGAAATGGAAACTTGTTGAAATACTTTGTGCTGAGAACTCTATATTGTACCAAAAATGTAACACTGAATAAAGTCACTAATAATAATAGCAGTAAATAATTATCGGCTAATGATAATTCAATTATCAATATACCACTAACTGATGTTTCACTAAAGTATGTGATTAACTAATCGATAATGACCAACTACAGACTACTTTCATGTAAAGTATGTCAAACTAACAAAAATCCGCTTAAATTCCAGTTAATAATATTTACTACTATATAATTATAAGTAGTAAAGTGCTATACTAGTACATGATCAAATAAACTATTGATATGTATTCGTACAACTGAGATAGTTCACTCGTTTGACTAACCAAATCAACCTCATCATATACTCATACATTCGATTAACACCAGCTTATTACTATAAGTATAGGTCATTTATAATCAAGTGTATATAATAAGTAGTTAATTACAATACTTAATATGAACAAAATAAAAAGAAATTTTTTCTATACTTACGCTTCCATCTTTAAGTGCTACTGTAATTGTATCACCAGTTGTATCTTTAATATCAGCTAATATATAACCTTCTTTTTCATCTTCAACCCATATCACATTTTTGCTATCAAAATTAGCCAATTCTTTTAATAAAGCTTTTCGATCTACACCCAAATATTTGAAATCTGGATCTGATGGATCCATTATTTAATCACTGTATATTATCTATTAAATAGAATAAAAAATAGTGAAATAAACGAATATTATCAGAAGAGGTGTTATGGATATGATAATAAATTTTAATAGATGTGATCATGAATCGTGTATGAGCACTGTTGAGGAGTCTCACAATAGGACGGAACGGTCGTCCAGTGCTTATAGGGTTTCCCATGCTTGTCTAGCTTCAATTGACTCATGATCTCATCTATTAAAACAAATATTACTTTATACTTTATAAGTAGTATTCTATTCCTAGAATAATTTCAATGAATTCAATGAAACTTACTTGTATATATTCAATGAATTATGTATAAATTTCCTCTTGAATAATATAGATATGACGAAAATAAAAAGCGGTAGTTTATTATTGTTAACAAAGTACGAATAAATATGATGAAACGACAATAATATGTCAGCGTATAATTCAGGCAATTGTATTATTATTATATATATAGATGGGAATTTTAGCATAAATCCTATTGGTTAAAATTCAGCACAGACTATTATTGATTTGAATCAACCAATCAAAAATAAGATGCACCTTATAGTAAATCAATAATGTTTAGTAGGGAAATATAGCTAGTTCATATATTTTTAGGTAAGGTCCATATATTTAAACAAAATAATAGGTGCTAATATATGAATTCAAGGAAAAGCAGGACGAAAGGCAGGTTATATATGGTATATAAAGGTTTACTTTTGTTATTAATTAACCGCCCACTTATTTTCCCATCAGCCTTGTAGCTGATTGAAACTAGCAGTAATAAATTAGTTAGGTTAAATGTATTCATTAGGATACATGCACAACAACTATACAAATTATATGGATATGAGTTGTGTTTCATTTTTGTTACATACCATAAGGTTCATGTAAATACCTCATAATTTGCATTGTGTATATTGATTCAATAACAACAATGTGAACATTGGTTAAATATAGTGTTGTATCTATGGTCTCGAATGATATTTAAGCTTCCTTGATTATTAAAATGTACATTACTTATAGACAATTAATCTATGGTATTCTATTCAAATAAGAGTTTCCTATTCTATTCGACTAACAAGACGTTTAGCTAGATATTTTTATCATTCATTAAGGTTGATTAACCGTATATAAGTAGTAAGAAAAAATAAATAAATAATTCAGTTCACTGATACGCTATTATCAACAGTGACTTGTTTTCCTTTCATGCTGTAAATGAATTCACAACAAATAAAATTGAAGTTATCTTCTATACCCTATATGAGGTTGAGATCATAAACCAATTGATTTTAGACTACCACTGAAAACCTGGAGGCTTTGGATGAGTATTTCGTCCTATTGTGGGACTCCTCAGCAGTGTGCATCCACGATTCTGCTCGTGAGAGAATTCTCGGAGTTCTAGTGAGAAGCCGTGACCAGTGGAGCTAATGCGTATCGGGTAGAGACAAGTATCTACTTCGTTACAATGGAAGATGGTCGCACAATTTCGTGGATTGGTTGAGGTTGAACATTAACATTAATGGATGCCGGCCCAGTGTTATATATATATATATATATATATATAGGTAACCGATATATTTTACGAATGGAAATTCAAAAAAAAAACGAGAAACTTTCTATAAACATTAAAAATTCGTTTTAAATGGATCATGAAATGCACTGCAAATATTGCTATGATAAATACAATTTGAAACAAAGTAACAACCCTTATATAAATGTAGTTTTTTATCAATTAATTGACGGCATTAAAGGGTTGCAAGATTTTCGGGAGTTTGAATGTAAATGGTAATGAATAGCCAAAGAGAAGAACTATGAATTAAATACGATAGTAATACATCTTAGGATTAACTAATTCTTATTCCTATTAAATGAGATATAGTTATAGCTACTTAGTTCTTTATACTCTAATTGCACAGAGTTATTAATGAGGATGTTTATTTTTTTTGTTTTATTTTCTTTGGCTTCCTACCAACACTTATTGTAATCTGTCGAACATCTTGTAACTTTTAGTATCGGGTGTATTTCCTACCAACTTGTAAATAGAATATACAGTCAAGGCAATCTACCTAGGCTATGTATGAATGCCCTAGTGATTAATTAGTAAAGTTCTTAAATCATCCATCACGTTATCAGACAAAGAAGAATGTTTTTCACATGGCTTTATCAAATAACGACGTCAATAAAAAGTAAGGAAAACAAGAAAATGAACTCATTTATTGTAATATTTATTTATTTGTTTATTTGAACACATAGTTATTGGTACAAGAGGGCACCAGATACATATGCGCCACACAAATCAAATGAGATTTGTGTGAGGGCTGTGATACTGCCTGGGTGCCCAAACCGCAGTAGGTGGTTTTCTTAGGGGGTCACATCCGGAGCCTTCGACCTAAAGATCTAACCCACAAGGCAGTAGAGCATCATAAAGAGATGCAGTCCCATGGTAGCCGGTGACCAACAATTGGTTCATACAACATTTGTTCCTTCAGGATACTGGAGTCCATGTGCACCATTGGTTTGCGATCAGGGTTTTACAACACCCCTAGATGGACTCTCCGTTTCCACCAACACGGTTAAAGCGCCGGATTTTCGCTTTTCGTCCTCTCGATTTTGTAAGCAACATCCCCGCCAGGAGAAGGCAGTGAGTAGGACTTCCCTGGCAAAGGCTATATACGTTTGGAGAAGAAGAGCGGACTCTCCCCACTCTCGGCCGTACCAGGGCATTTGGGGGCCATTTATTGTAAAACTTCAAAGTAACATAAGATTGATAATTTTTCTCGTTATTTATTTTTCTCTTGTTATGCGTTTTTTACATTGTCTTTCTCCCTCCCTTTTCTTTTCATGATTTACTGATTACTTATTTGTAAAAATACATAAACTTTACACAACTATGGACACAATACAATTGTCCAGAAATTTGTACACTAATCAATATTTTTTATGTGGAATAAATCTCAAGAAGTCACTATGTGTTAAGTGGTACTGATGTCGACAAGTATAAATAGTATTTATCAATAATCGAAAGTGGAATGCCTGGTAGCAGAAGGCTAGGAAGATCGAGTTGAAGAAAACAGAAGTGGAAATACAAAGGAATTGTGAATAGAAAGAATAATACTGAATGTGAAGGACAAATGATGGAAATTTGCAAATGAAGTATTCAGTGTATGGTTCTTAAGGGTTCTACTTCATTGTAATCCCTCTTTGATTGGTGGTTCATTGACACAACACGGTTATTATTAATGTTTTCCAGTGGTATTATGTGGCCGTTGAAAGCTGCGGCCCACATAGCCTTTCTGTTGGGTCATGACCAACTCAGATACCGCCCCAATCCACGAGAAATGATCCTAAAATATTGATTAAATCTAAAGAATAATTGCATTGTAAACGTTACCGTCCAACAGTTTCCGCCTTAACTAAGAGTCAAAGATAGGCCCTTAAATTGTTATTGCTGGCCTAACTAAGTACAATGCTACTGACCTGCATTCACTTACCTTTTTATAAAAACCACGGCAGACGTGAAAGACGCATAGGATTATGTTGACTTGTCAATGGGTGTTTAGGACTGCGGCGATCTCAGCCTACTCACTATCCATGACGAACATCTCTGTCCTAGACGTGCCACCCATTATTTCAGTAAACCGACCTAATATCCGGATCTCATAGACTCTCCTTTCTATTTGTATCGATGTAAATGCGACCGAAGTTATCAGTTATCACTAACCGAAACAACGAATACCTACAAAGTAAAAGTTATCAAAAAGCATACTCACTTCTTGCTGTTGGTATTGTAAACAAACTCTATACCAAAAACTTCTGGATATTGTTTACAGAATGCGCTCTAATTGTAGCTACTAAAACAGATTCAGGTTCCCTGTTCGACTTCGGAAGAAAATTCTCTTAGTTCACCTTATTGTCTTAGGAAACTAAAAACTTACAATAGAGTACCTCAGCCTGGAAACATAATAGTACATACTTACCTGTAGACATTTTTGCTTTCATTGTCTTGACTTCATGGTTAGTCGGCTCTTTAACACATTCCACCAGTTGGTCGAAAGACGGTGATTGGATTAGTACTGGCATCAAATTTTCCTCATGCTCTGAAGTCAATCAGCCGGTCTATAAATCGCAGATGGTCCATGAATTTTCCCAAGGATGATTATGTATCATTTGGCATAACTTTATCACGTACTAATACAGTTGTAGAACTATACGGAACATTGACTAGCAATTCAGAAACTCGGGCCTGAAATGTCACTTTAGATTTGCAGTCTTCAAAGTTTATTAATTATTCCTAAACCTTGTGGTTTACGTTTTCGGCCGAAAGTACACTTGAAAACAACAAACGTATACTTAAACCTAGTGTCACTTAATGAACGATTTCCTATATTCAAGAATATGTTTCTCCTACTTACTAGAATTTATTCAACGCTGTTTTGAACTCCACCCAACTAATCAAGCGTCTGCTCATAGTGATACGCCTAGACACATTAGCCAGGTCGACAGATGTATTTCTCGAACAAGAAGCACAACAAATGGGACTGCAATAGTAGTAAACTCTATTAACTGCAATGCAGAAGGTACTATTAACACCGATGGAAGGCGATAAAAGTTTCAAACTCATTGATTGTCAGTCATCTCTTTAACTTTGAAAAGGACAATATGTTGCTCATGATATTAATCTATAGAACCGTATGTGACCATTTTCAATCATATTATTTACTCACCCTGCTGCAATAGACTCTCCAACAAAATTGTTCATTCGATGCTTTTCAGAAAACGTTACACAGCAGCAACCAACTTGAGTTTTACACTAAATAAAGACAAAGGATGTAGGTAATGTTGTTGAAAACGAATTTGGTGGTTTTATAGATGTCAACATTCTACGTAAATATACAAACACCTAAAATCCATGGTAGCCTACATTCACGCAATCAACCTTAAGCACTTCAAATACGGAATACTCGCTGTCATTTAGACCATCTGCAGTCGATTACTTTTCTTC